ATGTGCTAGAGAGCATCAAGAAAATGTGAGAAGATTGAGCAAGATTCAAAGAAACTGTGGCCGAGAGTTGTAGTAGCTAGCTTTATACAGGATTCAATTACTATATTATTTAGATTTTATCTAAAGGATTGATTTAATTTATGTTGATGACTTTAATTATTAACTCCTTTCTTTTCTTTAGCCCTAGAGAAATGTAATGGCCTTTATAAATAAAAATTTAAAGAAATTTTTTGTTAATGAATTTCCTCTGAATGTGCATTCAGAGATTGGGACTAAAAGCCTAAGGCCTATCACATGGCTAAGGGTGGAGACGGAAAAGTGAAAATACCAAGCCAAACCGTGAAGAATTAATGATCGCGTGAAGAAGGGGGTTAAAGTCAAGAGATTTGATGGTCATTTATGAATACTCATCCGGCTTCTTCAATACGCAATTCGAATCATATTTGGACAAATTTGATTAGTACATGTTGCAGGACACCCAACTATGTGAAAAGAAAGCAAAACCATGGAAGAACAGATGAGAAGAATTAATGAGAGCGTGAAAAAGGGGGCCAAAGTCACTGGTGACTACTAGTGAAGATAGAACAATTTTGATGGTAATTAATGAACCCAAGATGGGCAAGTCCATGAAAATTAAGGTGCCCTTTTTAACAGCAGAATGCTCTGTCCTACCAAGACAAAAAACGACCAAAAGATCGACGACTTGGGGCAATTTTTGTTCCAATTTGCTGAATAGACTGTAGGCCTTCACCCTCATATAATGTCAAATTATCAACAATTCAAAATGGTTGTCGCAGCCTACGACCTAAGGCCTACCAAATGCAAGGGCAGGGCAGAAGTGGAAAGACAACCAGTCGTATATAAGAACACATGAAAGGAAAAGAACGTAAAGAAGGGGAATAAAATAAAATAGAGTCTTTTATTTTACAATTGTTAATTGACGTATATATAGATTTGATTTCCTAAATATGTTGTGATTGCACAATCATTATAGAGTGTGACTTACTTTTTTTTTTTTTTACATGTCACCGAATTTGTACCTCGTTTTCAATTTGCACCTTGAAGAGGAAAAATGTAAGAGAAATTCCCTTTTATTTTACACAATCCAATTTTTCATCCAATTTTACAGGTATATTTGGTCTTTCCATTTTAAGGAAATAAAAGAGAGAAAAAAAGCGCCAGCTCTCTCTCTCTGCTTTCCCCATGTCCCCTGACCCTATCCCACGCTAGCGTGATAAACACTTCATGTGTGCAGTTAGTAAAACGTGAAAGTTGTTCCACCGACAACTTTTGCCCCAAGCCTGCACTCTTCTTTGTAGTTGATGGCGCCAATGCCGTCCGTGAATGTGATTATCATTGCATCATTCGACTACTGATTGTTACGACATTTAAATCTCCACCCCCAGATGAAGAAATCACTATTGAGAATCCATTAACCATAGAAAGAGACCCAACAAAAAAGACACTCAGCAAGCAATGAACATCCCATAAATAGCTAAATTCCCAGAGTTGTTGGTCTTGGTTGTTGCAAAAGCTTTCAATTAAAATTCTATTTTGTGATGAACACAATTCATTTCATTTGTGAGTTTTGTAGCAAATAATGCCAACGTAAAATGTAGGCAATCAAGAGTGTTCGTCTTTGGTTGTGCAATTCAATTTGATATTATATGTTTTTGTGTTTTAAAAGTGTTTGTGTTTGCAAAATACCTCTAGAAAAAGAACTATAAATAAAAAAAAAAAAGGTGTTGTGTGTGCTGCAAAAAATGGTCTAAAATTAAAATGAAAAGAAAATTGAAAAAAAAAAAAAAAAAAAAAAAAAATTTACTTTGCTTTGCAAAACACCTACAGCAAAAAGAATAGAAACACAAAAAGTGTGCTGCAAAATACTTAGCAAAAGAATGATAAAAATCCTTAAATATATGCTTGTGTTTTGCAACGTGGAAAGGTGATTAAAAATTAAATGCAGAAAAAAAATGATAAATTAAAGACATTATTAAATAAAGTTTTAAATAGTATAAAATATAGTACCGAGTCACTAGAGCCCTTTCTCAGATTTAGGAGTCCTGGAGGTCTCCTTATTTTAGGAGCTGGGTAGGGAGCATGATTGGAGGTGATTTTTCACTTCCTCTCTAAATTTTAGCTAAGGAGGTGGTTAGGGAGCCCATTGGGATGCTCAGAACCTGAATTTAGACATCACATGGCAATGACTTGGTTACATTTGATCACCTAACACACTATGTGCCTCTTGACACTTCCAAGGGTCACTTAAACCAAAGTAACAAGTAATCTACCTAAATTTGAGCCAATTTACAACATATCACACAATCAATTAACTGGACGGATGTGTCTACAAATGATTTGCAGCTTGAATATCCTTCAATCATTGATTTGTCTAATAATAGATAGGTGGTAAAATTCATCAATGCATGGAAACTTCAGTCCAAAGCCTCTCCGTTTTGGATCTAAAGAAGAATAATTTCATGGCTTGATTCTGGGGACATTTTCTAGGGAACGTTAGAGGAATCCTGACCTTAATGGAAATCCGTTGGAAGGGCCGTTATCACTATCTTTGCACAATGTAAAGACTGGAGTTTTCTAGACCTCGTAAAAAACAAAAAAACATGACTTCTAGGGAACACCATAATTAAAAAAAAGCAATGAATAAAATGAAAAGTGGAAATTGGAATATTCTTTATGTAACTCAGTTTAAACATTTCAGTGCAAGTCAGAATGTTACATTGTTCATCTTTAATACATGGTTGGTCTTCTTTTTTTTTTTCTTTTTTTTTTTTTTTTTTTTTTTTCTCTGTTTTTTTGTTTTTTCATTAATTGAATTTTTTAGTTTATTTCCTCATGTTCACCAATTGGACTAAAGGAATAAGGCCTACCAAATGCTTAAGGTAGGGGCACATGGAGAAGAAAGAATGTAAAGGAGGAGGTAAAATAAAAAAATAGTTTATTTTGTACCTAATATGACGTATACAATAGCGATTCTTATATTATTTTGTGATTACACAATTCTTAATAGTGATTACCATATTTTTTTCTCAGTTGCTAATTACAATAATACGCGTGTGCTAATTTCTTCTATTTTCTTATAGTTGTGGTGCGATGAGCAATTCTCTTCTTGCAATTTCTCTGGGCCAGTTTGATGACTTTGTCAATGTTTTATTAATGGTCCATTTCATTTGCTTGAATTTTATCTTGAGCCAACAACAAACCCCGACAAGAATGTCACCATATTGAATTTCTCTATATATAGTTAAAATGAAGATTACTTTGAGGTCACCATATTGAGACTCATGTTTTCCCTCCTCCTGTTAGGCTGTAGGCATTTGCAACTCTTTCCAAATTCAAATTACATGGTATATACAAATTAATTGTTGTATATATTTCTTTAAGAATGAACTCCTAATTATACAACTAAGGTTAATAAATACTCGAACCCAAAAAGAAGTAGAACAACTTTCTCTGGACCTTCCTAAAACGTCATTGAAGGGACTTAACTTGTCTCATAATGATCTTAAAGGTCCAATTCCACCCTCATTTGGCAATTTTAGCAATTTTGAATGGTTAGATCTCTCTTCAAACATGCTGTTGGTGAGATTCTTGGGCCATTGACAGATTTGACAACACTTGAAAATTCAACGTTGCTGAAACCAACTTGTGGGGCCCATACCTCATGGCAAACAATGTTGCGGAAAGTCAGTGAGGTAATGAAATTAGTAACATTAACATGTTTAGTGCCGTAATTGCTTCTTCAAAGTTAGTAAGGATACATGTTTAGGAATTTGTAGCTGATGAATGGAAGGCACAAGAAACTCTAGCATGTTAATGTGAGAGAGAGAAAGCATCAAAGAAAATGTCAAAGATTGAGCAAGATTCAAAGAAACTGTGGCGAGAGGTGTAGTAGCTAGCTTATATTATTTAGATTTTATCTAAAAGGATTGTTTTATTTTATGTTGATGACTTTATTTATTAACTCCTTTCTTTTCTTTAGTCCTAGAGAAATATAATGGATTTTCATAAATGAAAATTTAAAAGAAATTTTGTTTATGAATTTGCTCTGATGTTCATTCAGAGATTGGACTAAAGGCCTAAGGCCTATCAAATGCTAAGGGGGAGATAGAAAGCGAAAAGACAAGTAAAACCATGAAGAATTAATGAAGCGTGAAGAAGGGGGAAAAAGTCAAGAACGATTTTGATGGTCAATTTATGAATACTCGTTCCCAGCTTCTTCAATACGCAAATTTGAATCATATTTGGACAACTTGATCAGTACATGTTGCAGGACACCCAACTATGTGAAAGACAAGCAAACCATGGTGAAGCAAATGAGAAGAATTAAAGAAAACGTGAAGAAGGACGCAAAAGTCACTGGTGACTACTAGTGAAGACGAACGATTTTGATGGTCAATTATAAACCCAGATTAGCAAGTCAATGAAAATTAAGGTGCCCATTTTAACACGCATAAATGCCTACGTATGTACTAAGACGAAAGACGACCAAATATCGAAGACTAGGGGCAAATTTTTTCCAATTAGAGAATATAGACGTAGGCCTTCACCCTAAATAATGTCAATCATCAACAATTCAAATTGGTGTAGCAGCTAACAATGGGACCTACACCTGTGTGACAATGGGACAACCTTATTGTCAAACCTTACCAACACCAAGACAGCCACAAATCAAAGACTTGGTGCAAATGTTTTCCAATTCCATGAACATGTTACCAAAAAAAGAAAAAGAAAAAGCGAGCTAACATTGGTGTAGCAGGCCTTCACCCTCAATGTCAATTATCGGCCCTTCAAATTGGGACCTACACCTGCGTGACAATGGGACCAACTATGTGAAGAGGACACCCAATCGTTATACTTACGAGGCACAATGATGCTTGATTACTATTCATTAAGCTTGTTATAAATATCAACATATCCAGTATAGAATTGCTCACAACTGTTTTATCACATAACTATATACTTTAGATTTTTAAAGAAAGATGGCTTGGTTGTCATGGTTCTGTCTCCTCTTCCTGCTCTCTACTACTTGTCAATTCGACTCTACTTGTTCATCATCTAACTCTTCCTCTTCTATTTCTTCAGGGCATTTATGCCATCCCGAAGACAGCTCTGCTTTGCTTCAATTCAAAAACTCCTTTTCAATTTCTTGGCAGAAAGGCAAGGATTGTTGCGCATGGAGTGGAGTCACTTGTGAAAAGATGACTGGTCATGTGATCGGTCTCAACCTTGGTTCTGGTGGGCTTCAAGGCAATATCCATTCCAATAGCAGCTTATTCTCTCTTGGCCATCTCAAGAGGCTAGACCTCTCTCATAATGATTTCAGAGGCTCCCCAATTTCGTCCAAATTTGGTGGCTTGTAAGTATGACTCACCTTGACCTCTCTTGGTCCAATTTCAGTGGCCCAATCCCTTCTGAAATTTCCCACCTTTCCACCTTGGTTTCACTCAATCTCACCCAATTTGATGTAAGACTAGATACTCTTAGTTTCAACAGAATTGTTCAAAACCTGACCAATCTTAGGGAGCTTAATTTGGCCTATGTTGATATGTCATCAATTGTACTCGATTCCTTCAAGAATCTGTCTTCTTCTTTGATAACTCTTAACTCTATGATTGCCACCTGCAAGGAAAATTCCCAGAAAGCATTTTCCACCGACCAAATCTTCGACTCGTACATTTAAGCTACAACTATAACCTCACAGGTTATTTCCCCAAGTCTAATTGGAGCATTCCACTCGAGATGTTGCATCTCTCTCATACTAGAATTTCAGTAGATTGGCATCATCTGACAAGAAATTTCAAGTCTTTGAGAGACTTGTATCTCATCAATTGCAGTTTTGTAGGATCATATCCTGCATTACCTGGTAACCCTCACACAAATCATGGAGTTGGACCTCTCGTCTAACAGTTTTGGTGGCCAAATCCCATGGTCACTTTTAAACCTTGAGAGGCTCACTCACTTGGATCTTAGTGGCAACAATTATGTCGGTCAGTTTCCAGAAGTTGATAGCAACTCGACATCGAACTCTTCTTTGTATGATTTTTCAAAACAACAACTGGTGGGTCCTATTCCTCGACACTTAACCGTGCTCGTTTTATATGAGAACCAACTCAACGGAACAATACCATCTTGGTTAGGTAGTTTGCCATCATTGGAGGGCTTAGACCTCGGAAGTAACCAACTCAGCGGTAATATCATTGAGTTCCAATCTCGTTCTTGGAATACCTTGTTAGGGGATAACAAGCTGGATGGCCTGATTCCAAGATCAATCTTTGATCTTGAGAAGGTTACGGAACTTGATCTATCATCCAATAACTTGAGTGGCACATGTGGAGTTTGAAAAGTTTTCAAAACTCCAAAGTCTTCGTTTGCTTAATCTTTCCTTAATCATCTATCCTGAGCTTCAACCATTTGAGTAACAACACCTGGCCTCAACTTTATCACTAGATTTGTCGTCTTGTAACATAAGTGAGTTCCCATACTTTCTAAGAAGCTCACAAAATTTGGAGAGGTTATACCTTTCCCATAACCGAATCCAAGCCCACATTCCTAAATGGTTGTTGGATTTGGGGAAAGATTCATTGAGTGATTTGGATCTTTCTCACAACTCTTTGACTGGCACTATAGGACAGCTTCGGTGGAAAATCTTTACTATCTTGACCTTCGCAACAATTCACTCCAAGGAGAGCTTCTAATTCCGCCACCTTCCACATATTACTTTTTCATATCAAACAATCAATTCACTGGAGAGATACCTCCAACGATCTGCAGCCTGAGTAGCCTTCAAATCCTTGATTTGTCTAATAATAATTTGAGTGGCAAAATTCATCAATGCATAGGGAATTTCAGTCAAAGCCTCTCTGTTTTGAATCTACGGAATAATAAATTTCATGGAGCAATTCCTAGCACATTTTCTAAGGGAAACGTTTTGAGAAATCTTGATCTTAATGGAAATCAGTTGGAAGGGTCGTTGCCGCAATTTGCGCACATGTGGAGAGTTGGAAGTTCTAGACCTTGGAAACAACAAAATTCAAGACACATTCCCAAATTGGCTAGAATCTCTTCCGAAGTTGCAGGTTCTTATCTTGAGGTCTAACAAATTCTATGGTGAAATATGCATTCCAAAAACTAAGTTTCCATTCCAAAAATTGCATATCATAGACCTCTCCAACAATCGGTTTAGCGGTCTCTTGCCAACAAAATATTTTGAACGTTTGACGGCCATGATAAACTTGCAAGAACATGGACTGAAATATATGGGAGAGGGCTACTATCAGGATTCTGTGGTAGTTACAATTAAAGGCTTCGAAATTGAAATGGAGAAGATCCTGACGTTCTTCACAATTATTGATTTCTCAAACAACACTTTCAGAGGAGAGATTTCAAGTGTAATCAGTAAGCTTAAATCATTGAAGGGGCTTAACTTTTCTCATAATGAGCTTACAGGTAAAATTCCACCATCATTTGGCGAAATGAGCAATCTTGAATGGTTAGATCTGTCTTCAAACAAACTTGTTGGTGATATTCCGGAGCAATTGGCAAATTTGACGTCACTATCAAAGTTCAATGTTTCAAAAAATCAACTTGTGGGGCCCATACCTCATGGAAAGCAATTTGATACATTTGAAAATGATTCATACAGTGGAACAGGATTGTGTGGATTGCCACTTTCTAAAACATGCAGTGCACCTCAATCACCGCCATCGTCATTCCAACAAGAGGATGATTTGGAGCATGGGAATGGTTTTGATTGGAAGGTAGTGTTGATGGGGTATGCATCTGGTGTGGTAATTGGAATATCTATGGGATATCTTGTACTCTCTAATGGAACACCAGATTGGCTTGTTAAAGTGGTAGGAAGAAAGCAACGTCGTAGAATTGTGAAAATCACACAATGACGTGCTTGAAGAAACCATTCCAAAAGTTTATACATTTTCATATTGTATATCATTTTTCATGAATATTTTATTATGTCAAAGCGCCAATAAATATGCATGAATTTGAAAAGAGGATCCTCTTTACTTTTGTTAAAGTAGAATAATTGCTCGTGCATATTGTAATTTGTCAAACACAATTGACAAATCAATTTAATCAATACACGTAATTTGGCTCAACTATGTTATATACTCCTATAATTCTTCTCCTATGTTGATATGTCATCAGTTATACCTGATTCGTTCAAAAATTTGTCTTCTTCTTTGAAAACTCTTGAACTCTCTGATTGCCACTTGCAAGAAAAATTCCCATAAAGCATTTTCCACCTACCAAATCTTCGACTCTTAGATTTAAACGATAACTATAACCTCACAGGTTATTACCCAAGTCTAACTGGAGCAATCCGCTCGAGATGTTGGATCTCTCTTATACTAGAATCTCAGTAGATTGGCATCATCTTGTATCTCAGCAATTGCTATTTTGTAGGATCATATCCTGCATACCTGGTAACCTCACACAAATCATGTGGTTGGACCTCTCGTCTAACAGTTTTGGTGGCCAAATCCCATGGTCGCTTTTAAATCTTGAGACACTCACTTACTTGGATCTTAGTCGCAACTATTATGTCGGTCAGTTTCCAGAAGTTGATAGCAACTGGACATTGAACTCTTCTTTATATGATTTTTCAAAACAACAACTGCTGGTTCCTATTCCTCAACACTAACCATGCTCTTTTTATATGAGAACCAACTCAACGGAACAATACCATCTTGGTTAGGTAGTTTGCCATCATTGGAGTGGTTAGACCTCACAAGTAACCAACTCAGCGGTAATATCATTGAGTTCCAATCTCGTTCTTTGGAATACCTTTTTCTAAGTGATAAACAAGCTGCATGGCCTAATTCCGAGATCAATCTTTGAACTTGAGAACCTTAGGGACCTTGCACTATCATCCAACCAACTCAGCGGCAATATCATTGACTTCCAATCTGTTCTTTGTCACTGCTTGATCTATCATCCTCTTCTGCTCTCTACTACTTGTCAATTCAACTCTACTTGTTCATCATCTAACTCTTCCTCTTCTCTTTCTCAGGGCATTTATGCCATCCCGAAGACAGCTTGCTTTGCTTCAATTCAAAAACTTCTTTTCAATTTCTTGGCAGAAAGGCAAGGATTGTTGCACATGGAGTGGAGTCACTTGTGAAAAGATGACTGGTCATGTGATCGGTCTCAACCTTGGTTATGGTGGGCTTCAAGGCAATATCCATTCCAATAGCAGCTTATTCTCTCTTGGCCATCTCGAGAGGCTAGACCTCTCTTATAATGATTTCAGAGGTTCCCCAATTCGTCCAAATTGGTGGCTTTGTAAGTATGACTCACCTTGACCTCTCTTACTCCAATTTCAGTGGCCCAATCCCTTCCGAGATTTCCCACCTTTCCACCTTGGTTTCACTCAATCTCTCCCAACTTGATGGAAGACTAGATACTCTTAGCTTGAACAGAATTGTTCAAAACCTGACCAATCTTAGGGAGCTTTATTTGACCTCTGTTGATATGTCATCAGTTCTACCTGATTCCTTCAAGAATTTGTCTTCTTCTCTGACAACTCTTGAACTTTCCCAATGCAACTTGCAAGGAAAATTCCCAGAAAGCATTTTCCACCAACCAAATCTTCAACTATTAGATTTAAGCAATAACTATAACCTCACAATTTATTTCCCCAAGTCTAACTGGAGCAGTCCCCTCGAGGTGTTGGATCTCTCTCATACTAGAATTTCAGTAGATTGGCGTCATCTGGCAAGAAATTTCAAGTTTTTGAGATATTTGTCTCTCAGCAGTTGCAATTTTGTAGGATCATATCTTGCATTTCTTGGTAACCACACACAAATCGAGCTATTGGACCTCTCGTCTAACAGTTTTGGTGGCCAAATCCCATGGTCGTTCTTTTTAAACCTTGAGAGCCTCGTTGAGTTGGATCTTAGTTCCAACAATTATGTCGGTCAGTTTCCAGAAGTTGATAGCAACTCGACAGGGATCGCTTCTTTGTATGATTTTTCAAAACAACAACTGGTGGGTCCTATTCCTCGACACTTAGCCTTCCTCCATTTAAAATGGAACCAACTCAACGGAACAATACCATCTTGGTTAGGTAGTTTGCCATCATTGAAGAGCTTAAACCTCATAAGTAACCAACTCAGCGGTAATATCATTGAGTTCCAATCTAGTTCTTTGCAATACCTTTCTTTAAAAGATAACAAGCTGCATGGCCTCATTCCGAGATCAATCTTTGAACTTGAGAACCTCACGGTCCTTGCACTATCATCCAACCAACTCAGCGGTAATCATTGAGTTCCAATCTCGTTCTTTGACAGTGCTTACTTTAGATGATAACAAGTTGGATGGCCAGATTCCAAGATCAATCTTTGAATTTGAGAACCTTTCGGACCTTGATCTATCATCCAATAACTTGGGTGGAAATTTGGAGTTCGAAAAGTTTTCAAAACTCCAAAGTCTTTGTCGGCTTAATCTTTCCTTTAATCATCTATCCATGAGCTTCAACCATTTGAGTAACAACACTTGGCCTCAACTTGAGTTACTAGATTTGTCGTCTTGTAACATAAGTGAGTTCCCATACTTTCTAAGAGCCTCACAAAATTTGGGTGTGTTATACCTTTCCCACAACCGAATCCATGCCGACATTCCCAAATGGTTGTTGGATTTTGGGAAAGATTCATTGAATTATTTGGATCTTTCTCACAACTCTTTGACTGGCACTGTAGGACAACTTCGGTGGAAAAATCTTATGTATCTTGACCTTCGCAACAATTCTCTCTGTAGAGAGCTTCCAATTCCATCACCTTCCACATTTTTCTTTTTCATATCAAACAACCAATTGACTGGAGAGAGGCCTCCAACCATTTGCAGCTTGAGTAAACTTAAAATCCTTGATTTGTCCAGTAATAAATTGAGTGGTAAAATTCATCCCTGCATAGGGAACTTCAGTCAGAGCCTCTCTGTTTTGGATTTACGGAATAATAAATTTCATGGTGTGATTTGTAGAACATTTTCTAAGGGAAACGTTTTGAGAAGTCTTAATCTTCATGGAAATCAGTTGGAAGGGTTGTTGCCGCCATCTTTACTCACATGTAGAGAGTTGGAAGTTCTAGACCTTGGAAACAACAAAATTCAAGATACATTCCCAAATTGGCTAGAATCTCTTCCGAAGTTGCAAGTTCTCATCTTGAGGTCTAACAAATTCCATGGTGACATAGGCAATTCGAAGATTAAGTTTCCATTCCAAAGATTGCGTATCATGGACCTCTCCTACAATCGGTTTAGCGGTCTCTTGCCAACAAAATATTTTGAACATTTGACATCCATGATAAACTTGCAAGAACATGGATTGAAATATATGGGAGAAGGCTACTATCAGGATACTGTGGTAGCGACAATTAAAGGCATCGAATTGAAAATGGAGAAGATCCTGACGTTCTTCGCAACTATTGATTTCTCAAACAACATTTTCAGAGGAGAGATTTCAAGTGTAATCAGTAAGCTTAAATCATTAAAGGGGCTTAACTTTTCTCATAATGAGCTTACAGGTAAAATTCCACCATCGTTTGGTGAAATGAGCAATCTTGAATGGTTAGATCTATCTTCAAACAAACTTGTTGGTGATATTCCGGAGCAATTGGCAAATTTAACGTCACTATCAAAGTTCAATGTTTCAAAAAATCAACTTGTGGGGCCCATACCTCATGGCAAGCAATTTGATACATTTGAAAATGATTCATATAGAGAAAATACAGGATTGTGTGGATTCCCACTTTCTAAAACATGCAGTGCACATCAATCACCGCCATCATCATTCCAACAAGAGGATGATTTGGAGCATGGGAATGTTTTTGATTGGAAGGTAGTGTTGATGGGGTATGCATCTGGTGTGGTAATTGGAATATCTATGGGATATCTTGTACTCTAATGGAACACCAAATTGGCTTGTTAAAGTGGTAGGAAGAAAGCGACGCCGTAGAACTGTGGAAATCACACAGCGACGTGCTTGAAGAAACCATTCCAAAAGTTTATGTATTTTCATATTGTATTTTTATGAATATTGTATTATGTCAAAGCGCCAATAAATATGCATGAATTTGAAAAGAGGATCCTCTTTACTTTTATTAAATTAGAATAATTGCTCGTGCATCTTGTAATTTGTCAAACACAATCCACAAATCAATTCAATCAAGCATGCATAATTAAGTAGTATTTGCCCATAAAATTGAGGGTACAATACGAATCAACTTAAAAATTGACTATGACCATGCAATTGACAATTAATTAATCAATTCTGATTGAGAAGTGTACGTGGCATGCCCTTTGAGAGTGCAAGTAGAGCTGCAAGTTGTAGCGGAGTTTCTCAGCTCGATCGTTTGGATAAGGTGCGATGCTTTTTGGCTAATTTTTTTGAGGTGGCAATGAAAAACAAACAACGAAATACCACACACAGAATGTAAAGCATATTTGGACTAGTAGGAATTGGAGGCAAAACGTGAAAACCATTTCAACACGCAGAAATTATACGTACCAAGACCAAAGACCAAAGACCAAATATCAAATCAAAGCCTTGCTTGCTGATTTTCCATGAAACAAACTCATCACGTACTTGCCATACTAAAAACGGTAACTACTCACAATAATTTCCTAGCTAGCTAACATTGGGACCTACACCACCCATGTGACAATATAGATGCTTCACCCTTGATGTCAAAAGATGCCATCCAAGCACAGTGGAAACTTTAAATGCAGGACAATGAAGCTTGTAATAAATATCAACGTCTCAAGTATTACATTTTGGAATTTTTGTTATATAAAAATTTGCATTAAATGACGGAAAAAGAAAAATACAAAAACTAATGCACAACAAGTGATTGTGTGGGTGACATGTTTTGATAGCAAATTCGACAAATTCTAAAAAGATTGACCCCAAGTCCTCAATTCTTTACTTTCATATATGTGTGATCCACATTGCCTAATGAATGAGTGGGTGAGTGCGGAGATGCAACGTGGCCCAATATGAAGCTGTGGTGGCTTTCAATTCGGGCGATACCCTTTCAATTCGACCAAATATGGAAGCCTCAGTCTCTTCCTTCACACAAATGGCAACAACAAGTACCTCCAACAACACTCTCTTAGGAAGAAGCCTTAACATCTCAAAGCATGAAAGCTTTACCAGAAAACCCATGCAACCAGAACCAGCTGCTAGCTATGAAAAAACCAAGCACAAAAGCTTGGAGGGTTGCAGCAATCATGATGTTCCGGTTGTAGCAGATCCAACCCCGGTTGCCATCACTTGGCAAATTGTTGTTGGAGCCGTAGGTATATTTTCACTCTTAAATTATATAACTACTGTGAATTCTTTCTGAATTGTTGTTTGAATATTTTTTTGTTTTTGTTTTTGGTGCATGGGCAGCTGGAGTTACACCTTTTGTGGTGGCTGGGATTGAATTCAGCAAAAGAATAGTAAGTTTTCCAGAGTTCATAATTAATTCATGTATAATATGGTATTGATGATTATGCATATATACATTAGATAGCACAGAAAAGATGTGAGGTATGTGGAGGGTCAGGGCTTGTTTTGACCAAACAAGACTACGTCAAATGTCCTGGATGTGGTAAGTGTTTAGATCCTTCGCTTTCAAGGGGCTGAAAAAATCTGTTTCTCATTATTATTTATAATTTATCTGGATTGAACCCCTCTGTTTTTTTTTGTCAAGTTAATTCACATTCTTCGTAATTTTTTTTTTCCAGGTGGATTTCTCCCTTGGCAATCATGGAAAAGATTCTTTTCTGGCTAAGAAATTTTTTTTTTCGCGACCCTTAATACATTTTCCATAAGGTTCGAGTGGGGACGTTTTATTCAGTATTATGCTCTTCAACATAAAATTTTTGTTTTTGTTTTTTTTAAAGAAAATAACAGTTATACTCATCTGTATAAATAAATAATAAATAAATAAATAAATAAAACATTCTTATGAGAATGATACTTCATATCATTCTTAAAATTTAGTTACAGAATTTTCTAACAAATTTTCACAAATATTATTTATCTAAAAAATTAGTTAAAGAGTTTCTCCCTATTCCTCTGCATATCATACACCATCTTAAACGGTCAGGACCACCCATCTTACTAGTTGGCATCCCCAAAATCATGGAAGCCTCACGTTTGTCAAACATTGCTTAACCTTCGCAGCGTTCCACTCATAGGTGTCTTGATCAATTAAGCTACCCACTCTATCTTCTGCATCACCTCTATGGGACAGGGTACAATTTTTACCAACTCAATTAACCCTCGTTGGCTAATATCTGGTACTTTGATTTGTTTATAATCTTAGCTTTACTTTTTGAATCAGAAGTTTAGAGGACGAGAAAGAGTAAGAGATAGAGTTTGAAAAGAAAGAGTAGTGGGGAGGAGTGCAAAATAGAAACTGTCTTGTTTTATGTGCAAGAGTTAATGCTACTAATAAAATAGTGAAATCATTTTTTGACAAATACATTTCAACAGTTGGATTGTAATATATCTAAATGCTAAGAAAGCGTGTCAAAATGTGTGGTTTTTTGTGTCCCTTGATCTTATATAGAAAAAAGAATACAAAATTACTAAATAGCATACATAAAATCCCAGAATTTTTGGATAGTGGTTTTATTTTTTTTGGCTGAATTATGAATGCAATTTCACAGAAAAAAAAAAAAAAAAAAAAAAAAAAAGAAAAAAAAAAAAAAAAAAATAAAAATAAAGAGTATAATAAGTTAAAGTTTGTGAATGGTACTAAGAATATTAATATATGAATCAAGTTAAGACAGACAATTGACTATAAATACAATAAAACAAAAATTGAATATGATCATACAAAAATTCATAAGGTTTAATTTAATTTACGTTTACTATGCTATCGGAAGAATAAAATCTTAAATCTAGCAACCCCCCAGATAGTGAGTGAGTAAAATTGCTGAGCCAAAAACAAAAGAATGCTCAACCATCCCAAAAGGAATAGAAAGAGAAAAAAACAAACAATGAAAGTTTTGATACCTCTTCAAAAATACAAATATTATTTTGTACACATGTTCTTGTCTCATTTGTCGCAGGAAATTCGTGTTTACAAATTTGGCACGCCCAGTGGGACCATCTCTACCTCTCATCTCTTTTTCCAGTTCCAAAATCAACCAACACGCCAAACACGATGGCCTCTAAGAAGATTCAAACTGTTCCTGTGGTGAAAGGGAAAAGTGTGAGCACCTCTTTCTCAAGCGGAGATTCTGCTGGGGTCGTCACCCGGAGCAAGGCCAAGGCGATATCCGCAACTCCACAGGTCACTTCCATACCGACTCAAGCCAAGGCGAAAGACGTGAACCGGTTATCAATCTGGCCTCCTTGGGGGCAAAGAAGAATATCGCTCGGGCGGATGAGAGAAACTCTCGGAATGAAGAAAGGAGTTTTTCGGGCTCGAAGAATTCAAGAGAACGTTCCCTCTCGCCTGTTTCAAACGTTGACTCGAGCATAGGCTCATACCATGGATCCCCGCCTAACGACCAACAGAAGAAGATTGCCTCGACGTCCATAGGTGAGTCTTATTCTATGGCCATGTAGGTTATGGTGACTGGAGCAATGTCTATTGAAGAACAGATGGCCCATATGAGCGAAGCGGTCACGAAACTGACGAAGATGGTCAAAGAGAAGGATGCACAGATTGCTTCTCTCATCAACAAGTGGGAAGCACATCAGGATAAGGAGCCTGGTCAAGATGCAAACAAGAAAGGACCACATCATGAGGCTGAATCTAGCGAGAAAGGATCGAGTCATGAAACAGAGTCGGGTGAGAAGTCGCACGGAAAAATTGACGCCGCCTCGGTGGGTTCTTTGTCGGTCCAACAACTTCAGGACATGATCGCGAACACCATCAGAGTTCAATACGGAGCACCTTCCCGAGACACGCTCATGTATTCTAAGCCATACACCAGGAGGATAGACAACTTGCGGATGCCGACAGGATATCAACCTCCCAAGTTCCAACAATTTGATGGAAAGGGCAATCCAAAACAACACATTGCACACTTTGTCGAAACATGCAACAATGCTGGAACGGAGGGCGACCACCTGGTGAAACAATTTGTTCGGTCCCTGAAGGGAAATGCATTTAATTGGTATGTAGACTTGGAGTCCGAGTCCCTTGACAGTTGGGACCAAATGGAGCGAGAATTCTTGAACAGATTCTATAGCACTCGAAGCACCGTGAGTATGATGGAACTCATGAATACCAAGCAATGGAAAGATGAACCTGTCGTTGATTACATCAATCGATGGCGTTCATTAAGCTTGGATTGCAAAGATAGGCTTTTGGAGATATCAGCAGTCGAGATGTGCATTCAAGGGATGAATTAGGGGTTACTCTACATTCTATAAGGGATTAAACCCCACACGTTTGGGGAGCTAGCCATTCGTGCCCATGATATGGAGTTAAGTATCGCCAGCCACAAAGGAAAACATGAGCCCGTCATCGAGCATAAAAAGGAGAAAGTCTTTGGACAAAAGACAAATAAGCCGGTCAAGAAGCCTACCAAGGAAGCAATGACAATCAACACTATCCCGGTCAAAATCTCCACCCGAGATAAGAAGAGGGAAGTCAAAAGGATGGAGTCATCCCGAGAGGTAGATAGACGTCGGCGCACCTTGAAGGAATTGGAGGAGAAAACGTACCCTTTTCCTGACTCCGATGTCGCAGGTATGCTTGAGGATTTGCTGGAAAAGAAGGTGATCGAATTGCCGGAATGTAAGCGGCCTGAGGAGATGAACCGGGTCAACGACCCTAAATTTTGCAAATACCACAGAATTCTCAGCCATCCAGTAGAAAAGTGCTTTGTGTTGAAGGAGCTAATTATGAACTTAGCTAGGCAAGGATGGATCGAGTTGGATGTTGACGAAATTGCGGAGGCGAACGTTGCCACAATTGTGTTCGGATCCTTTGATCCGGTGCCGTTGCCCGTATTGTCAAAGATATCGGAGTTTCAATCTACAAGGGGCATACACCAGAAGACTGGTCTATGTACAAAAGAAGTGGTGGGCGAACCAAACAATCAATGTTGTGATGGCTTTGTTGGTGACTCGTCTTTTGATGACAATGAAGGATGGACGCTCGTTACTCGGCGGAAGTCTCGTACGAAGCTCATTCCTCAAAGACAAAATGCTCAATCAAAGAAGGAGCAGCGAAAGAGAGGCTCGCACCAACATTCTAAGAACAAAACCAGACGGATGGTGAGGAGAGACTCCAAACAAGAAGATGGACCATTAATCCAAGGGCCACGAACTCCAGTTATGCTAGGAGAATACTTTCCCAAAGTGTTCTTCGTAAGAGGGCCAACGGAGACAGTCCATATGACAACTTGCTATCAGGTAGATGACGAAGATGCCTTGGAAGGAAGATATGAAACTCATGAAGAGCGAAAGGTCTCAACACAGGCAGAAAATCCACCAGCGCATTCAAATATTGAAGAAGCGGTGGAACTCCCTGAACCCATATGTGTAGCATTGGTAAAGGCATTAATGGATCTCGATATCCAACCAAATAAGATAAGGAAGACCGGAGAATTAGAGCCTGAGTCTCGAGACCATGCTATTTGCTGCGCGATGTGCGCTTCCATCACATTCACCAATGAAGACCTCTTGTTAGGATCTAAGTCACATAATCGTTCGCTTTTCGTGTCAGGGTATGTGCGAGAACAAAAACTTAGTCGCATGCTTGTGGACGGAGGTTCAGCAGTGAACATCATGCCTAAATCCACGATGATGAAGTTAGGCATCACCATGGACGAATTGTCTCGCAGTCGTCTCATGATTCAAGGCTTCAATCAAGGAGGACAAAGAGCTATGGGCATGATCAGAACTCGTGATAGGCGATTTAAAGTCAAACACCCTATTTCACGTGATTGATGCTAAGACCTCCTACAATCTCCTATTAGGAAGGCCATGGGTGCATGAAAATGGGATAGTGCCTTCAACCTTACATCAATGTTTCAAATTTTACAGAGGAGGAGTAAAGAAAATCTTGGGTGACGTCAAACCATTTACTGAAGCCGAGTCTTACTTAGCGGACGCTAAATTTTACATGGATGAAGACATGGTATCTGAAGTTATTCCCCGTGGAGGTTTACTCGACAGGAAAAACCATGCCAAGAAGAGAAGAGCAATCAAAGTGCCCTCCCGCTGCAGTGAATGTTTCGAAGAAGTCAAAAAGCACCTTGTCCGGACAAATGGGATCATCACCGACAGATTCACGGAAGGTGTCTACTCCCGTCCTCCGCTATGTCTCATCATCCCGACGGAAGGAAGGACAATCCCCATTTGGATAAGAAGTAAAGCCAAGGAAATGGGGAGAAAGTGACATGATGTTCTTGAAGGAGTCGACAACCATACCTTTACCCAAGTTGAATAATTCAGACGTTTCGAAATCTTCGGTACCAGGGTTCGTCAGACCATCACAAGAGGTAACAAGACACGAATCTCTTCCGGTCACAAGAACAAAACAAGGTTTTGACCCTAATGCTTATAAGCTCATGTCAAAGGCAGGTTATGACTTCGGCTTATCTTCTTCGATGGGAGAGCTTAATCCAGATGTCACAGGAGAAAGGAAGCATGGCCTTAGCGAAACCCAAAAGAAGTTGAAGGAGCAAGGTTACACAATTGACTCAGTTAGAGCAGGCCTAGGTTTTACTCTTGTCGCACCTATCAAGATCTCTGCTAGAAGAAAACAAAAGAAAGCAGAAGCTCAACATATTAGTGTCGAAGCGGTTGAGGAGGAAGAAGAACCAAAGGCTGTTAAGAGAGCCTCAGTGTTCGACCGTTTAGCCAAGCCTACCCAGCGGACCTCAATTTTCAGCCACATCAAAGAATCAACATCACGACCTTCTGTGTCCAAAAGGATAACTGGGCATGATAGCCAAATGGGAATTCGATCAGCCCCACGCAGATCAGCGCTAGAAAGACTTGGGGTTCCAAGCAAGTCGTCTGAAGAGAAAAATCAGCAAGAATTGAAAACTAGAGTTCATGTCGATTCAACGGAAGACAATGAAATTCGGAGCTTAATCCTGTCACATATGAAACGTCACTCTACATTAGACGTAACTTCAGGTGACCAACTCAAAGTGAAACGATGGACAATCATACAAAAGTGACGATGAAGAAGCGGAGGTTCTAGTTGTTCATCACGTTACGATCAAAGAGCTCGACGAAGAGGAACCTTTCGAGGAGGAGGTTCATGATGCTCGTGCTGCATTAGAAGATGGAGGCCAAGCGACTGTTGATGAACTAAAAGAACTCAATCTGGGCACAAATGAAGACCTAAGACCTATCTTCGTTTGTGCACTTTTGAATCTTAGTGAAAAGGAGTCTTATCATCAACTGCTACTTGAGTATAAAGATGTCTTTGCTTGGACGTACAAGGAGATGCCAGGCCTTGATCCGAAGGTTGCTGTACATCACCTTGCAGTCAAACCTGGAACACGCCCAATCAAACAAACTCAACGTCACTTCCGTCCAGAGCTCCTAAGTCAAATCGAAGCAGAAGTTGACAAGTTGATCGCCGCCGGATTTATTAGGAAGGTGAAATACTCGACGTGGATAGCGAACATCATTCCGGTGAAGAAGAAAATCACTGGACAAATTCGTATTTGTGTTGACTTCCGAGACTTAAACAAGGCTTGCCCGAAGGATGACTTTCCATTGCCCATAATTGAGCTTATGGTTGATGCAACCACAAGTCATGAAGCCTTATCTTTCATGGATGGTTTATCTGGATACAATCAAATAAGAATGTCGCCAGAGGACGAAGAACTCACAGCCTTCCGCACTCCGAAAGGAATTTACTGTTACAAAGTGATGCCATTTGGCCTCAAGAATGCAGGTGCGACCTATCAACGTGCAATGCAAAAGATCTTTGGTGACATGCTTCACAAGAATGTCGAGTGCTACGTTGATGACCTGGTGATCAAGTCAAAAAGAAGAGAAGATCACTTGAAAGACTTGAGAATGGTGTTTAACAGATTGCGGAAATACTAACTCAAGATGAGCCCTTTGAAGTGTGTTTTCGGCGTCACGTCAGGTAAATTTCTTGGTTTAATCGTTAAACATTGAGGCATCGAAGTAGACCAAACTAAGATCAAAGCCATCCGAGGTATGCTCGAGCCAAGAAATTTACATGAGTTGAAAAGTTTACAAGGGCGTCTTGCATTCATTCGGCGATTCATCTCAAACTTAGTAGGAAGGTGTCAGCCGTTCAGTCGCCTTATGAAAAAAGATGTTCCATTTGTTTGGGATGAAGCTTGTCACAATGCATTTGAAAGCATAAAGAAGTACCTATCGAGTTCACCACTGTTAGGAGCTCATATTCCAGGCAAACCACTCATATTGTACATTGCGGCTTAAGAGAGGTCAATTGGAGCCCTGTTGGCGCAAGAGAATGAGTCACATAAGGAGCAAGCACTCTATTATCTAAGCCGAACTCTTACTGGTCCCGAATTGAACTACACGCCTATAGAAAAGACGTGTTTTGCACTTGTCTTTGCTATTCAAAAGTTAAGGCACTACATGAAAGCGTTCACGGTTCATCTAATTGCACGAGCTGACCCGGTGAGGTACGTTTTGTCAAAACTAGTCTTGACGGGGCGTTTAGCCAAGTGGGCGTTACTTCTCAATCAATATGAAATCATCTACACTCCAGCAAAGGCGGTAAAGGGGCAAACTGTTGCAGATTTCCTAGCCGATCATCCAATTCCAGCAGACTGGGAAATTTCAGATGACTTACCCGATGAACAAGTCTTCTTCGCTGACGTTTCTCCTGCTTGGATGATGTTTTTTGACGGATCGGCTCGTAAAGATGGGGCGGGGGCTGGCGTAGTCTTCATGTCACCCGAGAGACACGTATTGCCCTATGCATTCTCTTTAAGTGAACTTTGCTCGAACAACGTTGCAGAATACCAGGCTTTGATCATAGGCTTACAAATGGCCGTAGAGATGAAGATATCAAGCTTAGAAGTATATGGTGACTCCATGTTAGTGATCAACCAACTGTTGACCCACTACGAAGTTAGGAAGGATGATCTAATTCCATATCACCAAATGGCCACGAAATTACTAGAAAGATTTGACTTCGTGACGCTGGAGCATGTGCTAAGAAGGGACAACCAAATGGCAGATGCCTTAGCCAACCTTGCCGCTATGTTGGCGTTGACAAAAGATGAAGCGGTGAATCTTCTAGTTTGCCAACGTTGGGTCATTCCATTAACACTTGGGGCATCGCAAGAAGGAGTCAACGTTATCTCAGTATTGTCCATTGACATTGACGACTGAAGGCAACCTTTAATTGATTATCTTGAGCATGGGAAACTGCCAGATGATTTGAGACATCGATCAGAGGTACGACGTCGGGCACCTCGATTCATTTATTATAAAGAGATTCTATACCGTCGTTCTTTCGAAGGCCTGTTTCTAAGATGCTTGGGGGAAGAAGATGCATCCAAAGCAATGGAGGAGGCTCACTTAGGTATTTGCAGAGCTCATCAATCAGGGCCAAAGCTACATTTCCAAATAAAGAGGATGGGCTACTATTGGCCGACTATGGTCAAGGATTGCATGGATTATGTGAAGAAATGTCAAGCATGTCAATTCCATGCCAACTTTATACATCAGCCGCTGGAGCCGCTACATCCTACAATTGCTTCATGGCCATTTGATGCGTGGGGTCTTGATGTGGTGGGACCAATAGCACCCAAATCTTCTGATGGTCATTCTTACATGCTTGCACCCACAGACTACTTTTCAAAATGGGCAGAAGCTGTACCTTTAAAGGAAGTGAAGAAAGAAAACGTAGTGAACTTTATCAAAGTGAATATCGTTCATCGGTATGGTGTGCCGCGCTGCATCATCACAGATAATGGAAAGCCATTCTTGAACCGGTTGATGGATAAATTGTGTGAAGACTTCGGTTTCAACGCAACTCTTCAATGTACAATGCCCCAGCCAACGGTCTTATGGAGGCGTTCAACAAAACTCTTTGCAACCTGTTGAAGAAAGTTGTTGGAAGAACCAAGAAAGATTGGCATGAAAGGATAAATGAAGCATTGTGGGCTTATCGGACGACATACCGGACGCCTACTCAAGCTACACCATACTCACTCGTGTATGGCGTGGAAGCAATCTTGCCTCTAGAAAGTCAAATTCCATCATTGAGGATGGCCGTACAAGAGGGATTGACTGATGAAGAGAATGCAAAGCTACGTCTCCAAGAGTTAGAAGCACTAGACGAAAAGAGACTCGAAGCGCAACAACGCTTAGAGTGTTATCAAGCTCGGCTTTCGAATGCTTTTAACAAGAAGGTTCGCCCCAGGTCTTTTCAAGTAGGAGATCTTGTCCTCGCATTACGTAGACCTATCATCACAACACACAAAACCGGAAGCAAGTTTACTTCGAAATGGGATGGGCCTTACGTAGTTCAAGAAGTGTACACAAGTGGTGCTTACAAGATTGTAGCTGAGAACGGTTTAAGAGTCGGTCCTATCAACGGAAAGTTCTTGAAACGATACTACGCATGAAATGATATAAAGCTCCTTGCCCACATGAGCCTAAACTGCGTAAAATTGAAAACCCGAAAAAGCAAAAGTTAGAGCACAAGAAAGTCCGTTGAACTGAAACCCCGAAAGGGCGGTTCAAGCAAAAGTTAGGACACAAAAAAAAAGTCCCTTGAACTACGTGATGACTTGATCCCTTTTCACCGAGGGTACGTAGGCAGCTTGGATAAATAATTCCAAGTTTAGTCACATCAAAATAAAAACAAAGGGTTTCCTCATCAATCCGAACCATTCAAAAAAAAATAATGAAATAAGAAAGTGCTTTTATTTCATTATGAAAATTAACTAGTAAACATCAACACTTTGACAAGTTCAAAGAGAAATATAAATAAAGCAAAGAAAGTTTACAACAACAAAAATTTGCTATTCCCAAGACAAGTCCTTGAAGCTGTTACGCAATCTCTCAAAAGAAACTCGTAACGCATCTAAAGTCTCAGCATCGGCAGTGGATAATACAGGAGCTTCTTCAACTGCAATCTTATCCTCTCTCAAACAGGCAACCTCACCATGATGATAAGAAAGTTGTGCATCACTCTTTGAAAGCGATTCGTTTAATTGACGCAGTCTTGACTCCAATTGCTCTTGTTCTCTCTTCAACTCCTCTATACGTGTGTTGGCAGATTTAATAGACTCAAGTATCGAAAATTGATGAACCTCTTCAGCTTATTGCAGAGCCAAGGCAACAGAAAGTGAAGAGTCGACAGCAGCTAAACGATCACTTTGAACCTCGGGAGACAGCTTTTGGGAGTAAGTAGAGTGTGCAGAACAATAGTCAACTGCGGTCACCATAAGTGCATCAATCATAACTCGTAGGGATGAGACGTCCGCCCCTACATTGTCAAGGGTAGTCAACAACTTTCCAATCTCATCTTTGAATGAAGGAAGCCTTTCTAATGAAGCCTTCAAGATTATGCTTTTTATTTGGTTGCCCAGAATGGAAACTACTTTGCGAAGGGTTTTGTCTGCAACACCTAATTTCGGTTCCCCACATGACATTTCAGAGGGTGATGCATGAGTAGCCGGCTTTAACAAATGTTGATGCACAAGCGAACCTACATTGACGAGTAATGGTTAAGCAAGTAGAATTAAAGATTTCTAAATACGGAGCGTGATAAAGATTGGAATCATACCTCTTAGGCTAACACCTGAACCACTTATCGGGCGCAAAGCATCATTTTCCTCTTCGATAGGAAAATGATTAAATGGTACAAGCTCGGACACAGTAGGGACATAATGCACTACTTCTCCCTAAAATATATATATATAATTAATATATATATATGAATAAAAAAAGGGAGGCTCAAGGTGAAATAAAATACATACCTCGTTCATTAGAACCGGTTGTGAAACAGCGGGCACATCACAAAAGAATGCGTCATCAAGTGGGTATGCCGTGTCCAAATCACAATAAAGAGGTCCGACGCTTGTCTTCTTATGCCTAAAGTTGACTTCACTATCTTCATTGCTGCTTATATGCCCTCGCTTCAAATTGCTAATTCATTGACCAAGAGGAATGAAATATTCCTGGGAATTTGCCACACTTTCTGTTTGTCCTTTGTCATTAGGAACTCGAGTTGAAGGAACATCCACCGGAGATGGGTGTTGAACTCGAGGCACAGGAGTAGTAGAACTACCTTCAACTTCTGGATGAACTTGAAGCGCTCTACCACGGGTGAGTTTATCATGAACTGAAACTTCGTGGCCTTGAGACTTAAGAGATTTTGGCTGAGAAAGCAACAACGACTTGCCTACAGTTGAGATTGTCTTTGATTTCATAGATTCAAAGCGATGCACCTTCGACCACCAAATAACATAGTCGGATGTGACCTCAAACTCCCGGATATTGTCCTTAGTGGGTAGTGTTATTGTAGATGCACTGCCACTCTTCAAGCATGATTTCCAATGTGAGTACACTGATAGCACAGTACCATTCCGGACGCCATCTTTAAGTTCTCCTGGCATATGTTGTACACAACAAAATTGTCTACTAAACCGATGCGGGCTATAAGGTTGGATGACTCGGTAGTTTTCCTGTAGTAGAGAAACGAATCCCGAACGAAGGCATATCAAATACTCAAAGTATTCTTTAGAGATATGATCTTCATCATCAGTTGTTTGCATTCCGAAAATACTCTTGCCAGACGACTCATTTTCACTTTACCACAAGTCCGGAACAAAGCTCGAGCTGTCGAATCTTCAAAAAATTTCACCGAAAGTCTTCCTGAGAACCTTGCCATGATAGGAATGGACTTCTCAGAAGATGATGTAAAATGTGTGTCGAAGTATTCGCCCAACCATCCATACACATAATGGAAAGGTAGAACAGTTGTGCAAATTCCTGGATCATCTGCACTAGAAATATCGTTCAGCCCCTTGTAAATGTTAGCCAATACCGGAACTGCTAGGCCAAATGATACACCATGCGCCATTCGACTGGCAACTTTGAAAACCCCTGGTCTGATCAAAGTTACGTCATCTTTGGGAAATACAAATTTGCACAACTAGCAAGCAAGGAATGCAGCCAAGTAGGATTTTTCTATGTCTTCATCAGCTATACCCAAATCTTCAAAAACTCCTTCCTCGTCCTCAGTTGTAGTGTTGTCGGAATGATACCAGATGGATCAGAGTCCTCTTTCGGCTTTTGTGACTTGTTCCGTATGGTTTTCCTTGAAGGCTTTTTATACTTGAATGGCCCTCGATACCAATACTTTATCCAAGCAGTCATTCTCACTCCAGATTTTCCTTTAGAATCACGTAAAATCTTGTGATACGCTAAGAATAAGTAGCGAAAAATGTGTGGGATATAAGGCACGCCTTTATGATCCTTCCTGTTGAGACTCTCAGTGGTTGGAATAACTTCATCATAAAATCGACCTGTAATAGGGAGACCGCCAATTTCATGAAGATTCCAAAGAGAAATAGACATCTGTCCTTGCGACATATGAAGAGTATTTGTTGCAGGACACCAGTACTCGCAAAAGGCTCGGATGACTGGAGCATGTCGATCATAACTAAATAATGAGGCAAATACTGCATTATATAGACCGATGCTCTTAAGAACCTGAGTATTTCTACTTATCACATCTTCAAGCCACTCCCAGTAATACTCAGTAAATGTAGATTCACAAGCTGTCGGGAGAGCAGAACTCCAATTCACTGCTCCATTATGGATTCGATCGCTAAGAAGCTCGAACGCCTTCGATGAACCGGTATCTGTATGATGGGAGGACTTTAACTGTAAAACAGTGGAGTGAAGGTCCCTATCTGTAGACTTGGATTTTTTGAAGCTGCTGAGTTGACAAAACACCTCTTGAGACCAAGACGGAATATGAAGAGAATTGTCCACCTCAGATACTTCCGAAGCTAGGAGAGGCGCACCTACCAGCAATGTGGTACCTTCGTCCCGGTTATCACTTTCATCCTCAAGAATAGTAACGGTGCCTTTCTTGAAACACTTGAAGAAGACCATCTGTATAAGATGAGCGACATGAAACAATATTCAGTATTAGGCTGGTGATTTACAAAAAAAAAAAAAAAAAAAAAAAAAAAAAAAAAGAACTTACTTGTACAAGTTTGAAAAGTCGGGTAAAGGTGGAATGTCTCGAGAAACAATTGTCACTCGTCTTCCCCTATGTAAAGCCTAAGCGCTTGAACGGGTTATCACCAAGTCGGAGAGATGGATCAAACCAAAGTGGTATAGGACGTCTACGTTCTTCACTTATCCTCCACTTATGTAAAGCCTAAGCGCTTGAGTGGGTTATCACCAAGTCGGAGAGGTGGATCAAACCCAAGCAGTATAGGATGTCTACGTTCTTCACTTGTCCTCCACTTATGTAAAGCCTAAGCGCTTGAGCGGGTTATCACCAAGTCGAAGAGATGGTTCAAACCCAAGCGGTATAGGACGTCTATGTTCTTCACTTGTCCTCCACTTACGTAAAGCCTAAGCGCTTGAGCGGGTTATCACCAAGTCGGAGAGATGGTTCAAACCCAAGCGGTATAGGACGTCTACGTTCTTCACTCGTCCTCCACTTACGTAAATCCTAAGCGCTTGAGCGGGTTATCACCAAGTCGGAGAGATGGATCAAATCCAAGCAGTATAGGAGGTCTACGTTCTTCACTTTCTTTCAAAGTACCTATTGTAAAAAAATATATATGTATAAATATCATCATATAAAATAAAATAAAAATGATTGAAAGAGTAATAGATGTGCAGCAGTGAAAAAAAAAAGAAAAAACAAGGGGTTATTTCGAGCTGTTTGGACCAGCCCAAGCTGAATAGGGGCATCCCAGTTTGCCCACTTCTCCAGCCCAGCCAGCATGAAGGTCTAGCAGATGCTCCTACGCAGCCCAGCGTCACCCACCAAGGCCCATCGTCGCCTACCAATACTCCAGCGCACAGCCCATGTTGCGCCAGGCCCAGCTCACGTCTCAATCTACGCAGCCCAGCTTCTCCTCCTGCGCAGCCCACCTCGCGCACCAAGCCTGACGCCACCTTGCTTCCACTTCGAGCCCAGCACCTTCTTGCCTCAACTTCAAGCTCAACACACGCAAGCCTGAGCCTGCCTACCCTTCCACCTTCCAATCTTGCTTCCAACAACAACAACAACAAAAAAAAAAAAGCTGACGCAAGAACATGATGAAACAAGGAATGGGTTCAAGCTTACCAACAAGTTGCTTGATAGACCAACAGATGAGTTCTTGCGGCTGTAGAAAAATATCAACGTCAGTTTTCTTTTTTCAACTGGCGGCTGTAGGCATATATATATATATATATATATATATATATATGCGAATCAAACACGAAAAAAAAAGGGCCAATTCTCACCACTTTGACGGCTGAAAATTCAAGGATGCAAACTTCAAAGTTGTAGACCTTCTTGCTGACAAGAGTAGTTTTTCTGCTGTTCTATTTGGTTGGTCTCAATATTCATGAACGTAGTGCAATTTAAAGAAGCCAAAGACCATTAAAGCTCCTAGTGGTGCTAGGGTTTCTTGTTCCTAGTTTAGGAAAATATTGGATTTTGAATCTTGATTCACAAGATCTTACCAATATTGGATATTATTAAGCGTAATAATATCAATCCAAAAAAAAAGAAAAAAAAAAAGGAAACCAACGTGGGAAATAAAAAGCCAACGTTGGAAATAGGGTTCATTGGATATTATTAAGTTTACTAATATCACTTCAAAAAAAAAGCACATGTCTACAATGCATCATGAAGTGGGGGCAATTTGTAGACAATGAAATTTTGGTGTAATAAATCCCATTGGACGAGAAAATAATTAGGGTTTGTAAATTGTGGGCCCCATAATTCGCCCATGTGGCGTGTGACTCATCAAAATTGGATTAGTTGTCAAAAAGTGACACGTGGCGACATCCGACGGAGTGCATCAAACAGTTCAAGATGAAGACAAAATTAAGGGAAAGAATCTTCTGTGATTGACTTTGATTTAAATCAAATATTAATCAGGTCAATCAATTGAAGATAATCTGGTTAAATTGCCAGATTATGGGAATTGATTTAAATCAAATCAAAATCCCACAAAACAAGGTTTTAAATGGGGAAAATTATCTAGGTTAAGCATCCTACAAGGGCCTATAAATAGGAGGCCTCAAGACGAAAGAAGGGTCCATAAAAAAACCTAGCATTGAGAAGAAGTAGAAAACTCCCTGCATTCTTCACCTACACTTTGGAAGAGCCACCAAGCACAAAAAATACGTGCCGGTTCCTCCACCCTAGAAAATCCCAAACACCAAACAAGCTTTGTGCTACCCGTTTGATCAAGATCAAGTCTCTACGACCCTTGCATCAAACACAAATTTTCTTTATACATTTTGGAGATCGAATCAGAGGATTCAGTACAGAGATTGTAACCCTAAATTTCATAAATACAAATATTATTTTATACACATGTTCTTGTCTCATTTGTCGCAGGAAATTCGTGTTTACAACTATGCTATCAGAAGAATAAAATCTTGAATCTACCAACCCCCCAAATAGTGAGTGAGTAAAATTGCTGAGCCAAAAACAAAAGAATGCTCAACCATCCCAAAAGGAATAGAAAGAGAAAAAAACAAACAACGAAAGTTTTGATACCTCTTCAAAAATCCAAACAATTTTTTCTCTTTATCCAAACTCGTACGAAAAAATGACGAAGAAGCTAAGGAAAACATCAGAGGATGAGAAGGAAACCACGCCAAAAAAGGACATATGAAGAGCATGCACATCTAATTAATCTCAAAACCATTTTCAATTGACATATGTATTAGCTAATTTCTATATAGTTATGCCATCCTTTTCTGAAGTGATTCTAAATGAGAACGCAAAGCTGCAAATGCTTTTTTTACGTGTATGAATTTGCTGTGAAAGTTGATTCATAGATTGGACAAAAGGCCTAAGGCCTACCGAATGCTTAGGGGCAGAGACAAAGTTAGCAGAAGCACAGAGATGAGAAGAATCAGCGTGAAGGAGAGGGCAAATATGAATCATATTTGGTCTACACACAGAATGTGAATCATATTTGGAGAACTTTTGACTACCAAGACCAAACACCAAATATCAAATCAAAGCCTTGGTTGCAAAATTTTCCAAAAGCTGCTTGTTTGCTTGCTACTTTTCCATGAAACAAACTCATCATGTACTTGCACACGCTAGAGTGATAAACATTTCATGTGCAAGTCATAACGTTAAAGTTGTTCCATCATTTCCTACAAAGAAAAGTTGGTACCTTCTTTTTTTGGTCTATGAAGTTTCTCTGAAAGTTCATTCACAGATTGGACTAAAGGACTAAGGCCTACCAAATGCTTATTTTCATTATTAGGATGCACAATTCTCCGAATAAATACAAAGCTACAAATGCCTTTATGTCAAGTTAAAGTCGGACACAGTGATGTCCATTGATTTGTTGGTAACGTACTAATATATGGCCAAGAAAGATTCATATTTGGACAACTTGACTATCAACATTAACACGCAGAAATGAAATGAGCATAGAAAGACGGCCAAATATCATGCCGTAACACTTACGAGGGATTAATGGTTCTTTGTATATCTAAAGAAGATAAACTACTATTCATTAAGCTTCATATAAATATCAACATTTTCTAAGGGTAACGTTTTGAGGAATCTTGACCTTAATGGAAATCAGTTGGAAGGGCCATTACCACTATCTTGCGCAATTTGGCTTAAATGCTAAAATGGTCCCTGTGTTTTAGCCGGTTGGCCAATTTAGTCTCTGTATAAGCTAATGTAATCCAATCCATTAAACTTTTATTCAAATATTAATAAAAATAAAAATATTTAAATTCAATTTAAAAATAAATAATTAAGAAATAAAAATAAAATTTAAAAGCTAAAAGAAATAAAAATAATTAATCTCAACCGCAACAACCTTCTCTCTCTCTTTCCAAGCAACAACTCACCCCAGCTACTTTCCCCACCCATACCCCAAAGCCCCAAATCCCCAAGCCACAGCCACATCCAAACTCTCCCTACCCCTCAACCGATCCCAGTACGATCTTCCCCAACCCAACCATTCCCTACCCCCCAACCGATCCCAGTACTATCTTTATATAATTATGTTGCAATACGTTTTTTTATTACCATATAGGAACTAGCTTTATATAGGATTTAATTACTATATTAATTAGATTTTATCTAAATGATTGTTTTTACGTTTATGTTGATTACTTTATTTATTAACTCCTTTCTTTTCTTTAGCCCTAGAGAAAGAGAATGGATTTTCATAAATGAAAATTTAAAAGAAATTTTCTTTTATGAATTTGCTCTGAAAGTTCATAAAGAGAAAGGACTAAAGGCCTAAGGCCTATCAAATGCTCAAGGGTGGAGACAAAAAGTGAAAAGACAAGCGAAACTATGGAGAAGCAGATGAGAAGAAATAATGAGAGCATGAAGAAGGGGGCAAAGTCACTGGTGACCCTGTTTCTTTTTCTTTTTCCTTTTTTTCCTGTATGAATTTGCTCTGAAAGTTCATTCAGAGATTGGACTAAAGGCCTAAGGCCTATCAAATGCTCAAGGGTGGAGACAAAAAGTGAAAAGACAAGCAAAACTGTGGAGAAGCAGATGAGAAGAAATAATGAGAGAGTGAAGAAGGGGGCAAAAGTCACTGGTGACCCTGCTTCTTTTTCTTTTTCCTTTTTTTCCTGTATGAATTTGCTCTGAAAGTTCATTCAGAGATTGGACTAAAGGCCTAAGGCCTATCAAATGCTCAAGGGTGGAGACAAAAAGTGAAAAGACAAGCAAAACTGTGGAGAAGCAGATGAGAAGAAATAATGAGAGCGTGAAGAAGGGGGCAAAAGTCACTGGTGACCCTGCTTCTTTTTCTTTTTCCTTTTTTTCCTGTATGAATTTGCTCTGAAAGTTCATTCAGAGATTGGACTAAAGGCCTAAGGCCTATCAAATGCTCAAGGGTGGAGACAAAAAGTGAAAAGACAAGCAAAACTGTGGAGAAGCAGATGAGAAGAAATAATGAGAGCGTGAAGAAGGGGGCAAAAGTCACTGGTGACCCTGCTTCTTTTTCTGTTTCCTTTTTTTCCTATATGAATTTGCTCTGAAAGTTCATTCAGAGTTTGGACTAAAGGCCTAAGGCCTATCAAATGCTTAAGGGTGAGAAGCAGATGAGAGCGTGAAGAAGGGGGCAAAGCTGCAAATGCTTTTTTTACCTGTATGAATTTGCTGTGAAAGTTGATTCACAGATTGGACAAAAGGCCTAAGGCCTAGCAAATGCTTAGGGGCAAATACAAAGTTAGCAGAAGCACAGAGCTGAGAAGAATCATCGTGAAAGAGAGGGCAAATGTGAATCATATTTGGACAAGTTTTGAGAAGTACAAATTGGAGGTAAAAGGTGAAAACCATTTGAGTACGCAAAAATTATACCTACCAAGACCAAAGACCAAATATCAAATCAACGCCTTGGTTGCAAAATTTTCCAAAAGATTTTCCATGAAACAAACTTAAGTACTTGCCATCTTAGCACTGTGGAAACTTTAAATGCAGGACAACCTTATGCCACACCTACTAGACTAATGTCGTGACATTATAGATAAATCACTGTTGCTGAAGCTTGTTATAAATATCAACATCTCCAGGACAGAGTTGCTCACAACATTATTTAGAAGAATATATACTTTTAGATTTTGAAGGAAAGATGGGTTGGTTGTGCCTCCTCTTCCTGCTCTTTACTACTTGTCAATTCAACTCTACTTGTTCATCATCATCTAACTCTTCCTCTTCTCTTTCTTCAGGGCATTTATGCCATCCCCACGACAGCTCTGCTTTGCTTCAATTCAAGAACTCCTTTTTTATTCATACCTCTTCTGAACGTGAATTATATAATGGAGCAACTCTTTATTCTAATAGTACAATTACTTGGGAGAAAGGCAAGGATTGTTGCGCTTGGAGTGGAGTTACTTGTGAAAAGATGAATGGTCATGTGATCGGTCTCAACCTTCATTTGGTGTGCTTCAAGGCAATATCCATTCCAATAGCAGCTTATTCTCTCTTGGCCATCTCAAGAGGCTATACCTCTCTGAAAATGATTTCAGAGGTTCCCCAATTTCGTCCAAATTTGGTGGCTTTGTAAGTATGACTCATCTTGACCTCTCTTACTCCAATTTCAGTGGCCCAATCCCTTCTGAAATTTCCCACCTTTCCAACTTGGTTTCACTCTATCTCTCGCAATATTCATTTTCAACTGTGAGACTAGATACTCTTAATTTTAATAGAATTGTTCAAAACCTAACCAATCTTAGGGAGCTTGTTCTGACCCAAGTTGATATGTCATCAGTTGTACCTGATTCGTTAAAAAATCTGTCTTCTTCTTTGAAAATTCTTAAACTCTTCCGGTGCAACTTGCAAGGAAAATTTCCAGAAAGCATTTTCCACCGACCAAATCTTCGACTCTTAGATTTAAGCAGTAACTATAACCTCACAGGTTATTTCCCCAAGTCTAACTGGAGCAGTCCACTCGAGATGTTGGATCTCTCTCATACAAGAATCTCAGTAGATTGGCATCATCTAACAAGAAATTTCAAGTCTTTGAGAGATTTGTATCTCAGCAATTGCAGTTTTGTAGGATTAAATCTTGCATTTCTTGGTAACCTCACACATATCATGCGGTTGGACCTCTCGTATAACAGTTTTGGTGGCCAAATCCCATGGTCATTCTTTTTAAACCTTGAGAGACTCGTTGAATTGGATCTTCTGCACAACAACTTTGTGGGCCAGTTTCCAGAAGTTGTTAGCAACTCGACATCGATCTCTTCTTTATATGATTTTTCAAAACAACAACTGGTGGGTCCTATTCCTCGACACTTAACCGAGCTCAATTTATATGGGAACCAACTTAACGGAACAATACCATCTTGGTTAGGTAGTTTGCCATCATTGGAAATGTTAAACCTTGGAAGTAACCAATTCAGTGGAAATATCATTGAGTTCCAATCTCGTTCTTTGAAATTCCTTTTTTTAAGGGATAACAAGCTGGATGGCCTGATTCCAAGATCAATCTTTGAACTTGAGAACCTTTCGTACCTTGATCTACCATCCAATAACTTGAGTGGCACTATGGAGTTTGAAAAGTTTTCCAAACTCCAAAGTCTCTGGGCGCTTAATCTTTCCTTTAATCATCTATCCTTGAGCTTCAACCATTTGAGTAACAACACCTGGCCTCAACTTGAATTATTAGATTTGTCGTCTTGTAACATAAGTGAGTTCCCATACTTTCTGAGAAGCTCACAAAATTTGGTGAGGTTACACCTTTCCCACAACCGAATCCAAGCCGACATTCCCAAATGGTTGTTGGATTTGGGGAAAGATTCATTGAATTTTTTGGATCTTTCTCACAACTCTTTGACTGGCACTGTAGGACAGCTTCGGTGGAAAAATCTTGTGTATCTTGACCTTCGCAACAATTCACTCCAAGGAGAGCTTCCAATTCCACCACCTTTCACGTATTACTTTTTCATATCAAACAATCAATTCACTGGAGAGATGCCTCAAACGATCTGCAGCTTGAGTATGCTTCAAATCCTTGATTTGTCTAATAATAAAATGAGTGGAAAAATTCATCAATGCATAGGGAACTTCAGTCAGAGCCTCTCTGTTTTGGATCTACGGAATAATAAATTTCATGGAGTGATTCCTGACACATTTTCTAAGGGAAACATTTTGAGAAATCTTAATCTTAATGGAAATCAGTTGGAAGGGTTGTTGCCGCCAACTTTGCTCACATGTAGAGAGTTGGAAGTTCTAGACATTGGAAACAACAAAATTCAAGACACATTCCCAAATTGGCTGGAATCTCTTCCGAAGTTGCAGGTTCTTATCTTGAGGTCTAACAAATTCTATGGTGAAATATGCATTCCAAAAACTAAGTTTCCATTCCAAAAATTGCATATCATAGACCTCTCCAACAATCGGTTTAGCGGTCTCTTGCCAACAAAATATTTTGAACGTTTGACGGCCATGATAAACTCGCAAGAACATGGACTGAAATATATGGGAGAGGGCTACTATCAAGATACTGTGGTAGTGACAATTAAAGGCATCAAATTTGAAATGGAGAAGATCCTGACGTTCTTCACAACTATTGATTTCTAAAATAACAGTTTCATAGGAGAGATTTCAAGAGTAATCAGTAAGCTTAGATCATTGAAGGGGCTTAACTTTTCTCATAATGAGCTTACAGGTGCAATTCCACCATCATTTGGTGAAATGAGCAATCTTGAATGGTTAGATCTGTCTTCAAACAAACTTGTTGGTGATATTCCAGAGCAATTGGCAAATTTGACGTCACTATATATATAAATGTATAACTCACCCTGGTAAGAACTTTGCAAGAACAGAGAATCTTTTAGCACCAGTCTCCCAACTTGCTTGATTATGCAGTCGTCCCCCTGATATCCATAAAATGTGACGAATAAAGAAGGGGAAAGGACAATGATCACATATCAGTTTACCATATAGTAAAAGGATTATTTCCCCATTGTTACAAAAGAAGTAACTTTCTGATTTGAATGAGTATGACAATATAACAGTTAAATTTTGCATTGAAGAAACAAATGGGAATCAATGTAGATAATCTCTTGGAGTTATTTCAGTCAATGATAAATCAAGATCACATAAGCATTCAAGAACCAATAACATTTTGATTAACCCATGTGAAAACACAGAGATATGCACCAACCTAGCTGTGGTTTTCAAACAGAACAGCCTATAAAAGATTCAACCCATGGCCTTAACGTTCTGTGTCCACTGAACCATATCCTCCTCATGATGCAAAGATTCAGGACTCTAGGCTATCTCTCCAAGTCCTTTGTTGTTAGAGAAAAATACCAGTAACATATTACCAAATAAGCGTGCAGCCATGTCTACCTTAAAAAGAAAGACATAAAATTAGAAAGAAAAGAAAAACACCAACAATAACAAATAGAAGCCACCACAGTTAGTCAAAGTAGTGCACCAAATTTAACCTTATGTCTCTAACTCTACTCAATACAAAATTTCATCAAAATAAACTAAACTTATCAGATAAAAAGAACTAATAAATATATTTAAGGAATATAAATTAAGATATAAAATGTTCTCATCAACAGCCATAAAATACCATTAATTGAGCTCCTCCTCCTTCACTTGGTGTATGATAGGATTTTTTAGAACCTGCGCAATAGGGTTAAAATCATTGAAAATACTTGCAAGAATTCAAGGTAATTGTAGTATAAGTGCTCATGCAAGGTCGTTGTCCCCAAAGATTGTTTGATTAATTTGTAATTAAATTAACTCTTGGTTAATAACTAAAACAAATTTTATCAAAGATTTGAAGTTTATGATTTTGAAAACACTAAATTAACAGTAAAAGAAATCTGAAAGTTGGGAAATAATAACAGCAAAGAGGAAAAACGTTTTCTTTCTAAAGACTAACAATTTAGAGAAAACTAGGGTTTAGCCATCACCGTCACAATCCTATGCAATTCTATCAATTACTTATGAATTTCCACATTTATGCTTTGAAGGTTAGGTTTTCCTAATGCATATTTTCCTTGTGATGTTCAAGCGAAAACATATATCTAACATGCAATCCGTCTGTGATGTTCAGATCAAATATAAACATGCAAGACTCATTAGGCTTTGTGAAAACCTTTTGAAAAACCATGCAACCCTTAAGAGTGTGATGTTTGCCTTAAGTGAACTTACAACTACTAATCACAAGAAGCCATCCTCAATTTCAGGGTGATGTTCCAACAGAAATTGCATCAAATTACTTGTCTACATATCCTAATGGTGATCAGTCATTAAAATAGATAGACAGTTTTAAACGCAGTGATTAATAATTCAAAGCAACCATGCATCCATTCATAAACAAATTAATAAAATTACATATTAATGCTAAGGCTTATGGCCTTGCCCTAGAAAATTGAATTAGTTACGCATACTCATAATTAAAATCAAAGAAAATATCATTCGAGTGAATAGGAATAAAAACACCTTGAAGTAGAAGCTCTTCAAAAACCCTAGCCAAAGTCTCTGTCTTCCCCAGAATTGCATAAAAGAAAAGTCCTCAAAATTGTTGTGAGAGAGAACTTAAATACCTCCTAAAACCTAGCTACTCAATCCCCACCAAGAAACTAAGTTAAAAATAAAATAATACTAGGATATAAAATCCAAATTGGATTACGAGAATCTGCCAACAATCTGCCCAGCCACGTTTTGGCCTCAAATCTCCTCCAAATCAGGGCCAAAATAGCTTCTTTTAAAGATAAAAACATTCCGAACACTTCTCCAGAAGGCCATGAACCCATCCAAGGTCATCTTGGGCTCCAAAAATGCAATAAAAGCCCCAAACGTCACTATTCCAACAACGCGCACTGCTCCTTTATTTTATTGCCAGAAAATGACCGCTTGGTAGAAAACTCTGAAATTTTGATAGGATCAAGCTAAGTGACTCACGAACATCCTCCAACTGGAATTACTCCAAAATTCATCCATTTGATTATGTTTTGCTCCAGAGGAAGTCAAAAGCCCTATATTAGAAATATAATTCAAAGTATCAAAATTCTTCCAAAATATTAACCAAAATATACTAAGAATAGAGTTAAATATATAATATAAAATCGACTCATTAGTGTAGTCTCCATTTGCTTCAAGGGGCAGCTCATCTTCAAGCCCTTTTCCAAAATGTTTTCTTCCCACCTGACAAAACAATTATTGTTACCAAAGATTGGCAGTGAAGGATTAAAATACATGGCTTGTAGCTGTAGTTCGTAAAGTTTAGGCATTTTGGAATATCGCAAAAGATTGTCATGTAGAACACTTGTGCCCCTGTTATATGAGATTTATGAATTACCTCTACATCCATGTGTACCATAGAGATGAGGAGAATCTAAGAGTCATTAATTAGTAAATTCGAGGAAAGCAGAAGATGACATTTAATAATAATGCTGCAGTTAATACCTACCATAGAGATAGATGGGTAAAAGAGAAGGAAATAACTCAAAATTAGCTTAAACAGTAAATGACTACTGTGTTGCTACTCTTACTCCTGACTAATATGCGAATCTCTCCTATTCATTGGCTTCGTACCAAAATATTTGTTAATCTGTCCCTTCATTATGTGGGTAGAAGGTAGAAGAAAAATTAGTTTTGTGTTGATAGATAATTCTCTCCCTTCATTATTGCTTACTGACTATTTGGTTGCATTAAAACTTAGCATCGGTGTACCAAACTCTATGGCTCCGTTTGGTTCATGGGAAAGGAGGCTTGTGAATGGGAATTCAATTGCTTTCCCATGTTTGGTACGTCCAGGCATGGGAAATGGTTTCCTGGCATATGGAAAAGTAGAGGGGAAAGTGAATCCCTCCTCTTAACTTGGGTTTTGTTTTCCCTCATCATGGGAAAGTTTGGGAAAATGAGCCAACATTCAATGCACAATTTTCATGACTATTTTGTCCATATGAACAATTTATAATTACAACGTATCATTAAATGCATTCTTTTTTTATTTGATTTAATATGGGTATAATTGGAAAATTATACAAACTTTGTTTTCCATTCCTACTCAAAACAAACATGGGAAATGAAACAAAGTGAAATCTCCCGGTTACTTTTCCGACATTACCAAACATGGGAAAAGAATCTTTCATTCTCATTCCTTGGGAAATGACATGGAAAATGTTTTCCCCTCAAATCCATTCCGTAAACCAAATGGGGCCTATAGGTAAAGCACGCGTCTGCTGAATAATAAAGCAAAGCATTTCTATTTATTTGAGTACAAAAGCAAAGCATTTGTTAACTGGCTTTCCAAAGGTATGCGGTCTTTTCATCTATATTTAAATGTTGTTTAAAATTTACTTTTGCTACAGTTACTTTTAAAAATTGTGAACTTTTACACTGTTCTCTTTGATCGATACGATACCTGATACTTGCACTGATTGATTATTTTCAGCCACATGTTAGATTTTTTATTTTCGAGTTATTTTATCAATATTAGAATGTATCCAATCCTAACTTTTAAAGATTTTTAAGTTAAAAAGTCTAGAGGTGTTTAATTATGACTTTTAAGGGCAATGTTAGCAACCTTCTCTTTTGAACTTTCCCTCTTCTTCTTATGACATGTGTCACTTCTCTCTCACTTAAAATAATATTTTTAATGTTAAAAAAATATTAATTTGTGTTGGCGCTCCACATTCTCTATGAGCATTTTTTGATGTCATTAGTATTCTTGATGATAGGAACATGGCCAGTCCTGAGTTTTGTAGGTCAGGGGAGAGAGATTATTATGAGGCCCTTTTGTATAATTCACACTTTTCACATGAAAAAAACAAAAAAACAAAGTTTTTTTTTCTAATTATATGCCTCTTTTATTGGTTTAAAAATACTCTGATTCAAAATTAAACATGCTAAATATACCATATTTGATGTGTGCCTCTTCTTATTCTCCTCCGTCATCCATCAAGTTGGACTATATTTTGGGTGATGTTCGGCAGTGCTTTGTGGACGTTGTCGCCCGTACGTTGTTCTAGCCCAGAAGTTTAAGTGAAAAAAAGGAACAAAAAATAAGCCCACACAAAATGCCTCTTTTGGGTGTCACATTAGCTTTTCCGTATTCATTTTGACTTTATTTCTACCATTTGATAACCATTTTATTTATTTTTTATTTTCATTTTTATTGAAAACTAAAAACATGTTTGGTAAAAGTTTTCATTTTCAGTTTTTGAAAAAGTAAACTAGTTTTCAACATTACCCTTATTTTTAAAAACAACTTGAAAGTATTTTCTGTTGTTAGTTTTCATTTTAATTTTTTGTTTTGCCATCCTTTCTTTTTATTTTTTTGTTCAAACTGGTACTATCATTAACCATGGTCATCCTTTCTTATTCAACAATTTCACATCACCACACATACATTTCACTCTAGTTACCATAAGTTGATATTTGGGACCTCCCAACTTGGATGTTGCTCAACTCTTGCGTTTAGCCGCAGAGCCAATTCGAGCTTCAAAACCTCTATATCCAAAATTCACCAAAAATTCACCCAAAAATACTACAAATTCTTTGTAACATGCATTTCATTTTATGACCTCAAATTCCTAATTTGACCCCAAAAGAAATTCATTTCCAAGTTTCACATAAAACTGAAATTAGTTACTAAACAACTTTTAAAAAGTTTTTCGTTTTCAGCTTTTTTTTTAAAATTCAATACCAAAGAAATTTCCTATTCTATAAACTGAAATAATTATCAAATGGGCCCAAGTTATGAAGAGTATGGATGAGATCAACCGGTCAGACTATAATGAGGGGTAAGTTATAAGGGGTTCACTTTATAGTCATTGGATCAATCCAAGGGCTGGGGAGAATTGGGATAAAGTTGTGCAATCGGGTAGGTGAGGAACCCAAACCCGAATTTAATATACAGCAATGAAGTTGGTCCCAACAAAAAAAAAAAGAGAGGCAAGTTCGAAGTTTGAACAGAAAAAACCCATTGATCTCAAACTCATAGCTGAGAGAAACTGCTAAGCTCTGAGAAACGATTGAAGGCAACGGGCAACAACGGTTGAAGGCAAAGGTTAACGACGGTTGAACGCAACTCCACTATCTAAACCGTGAAAAAGTATTTATTTTGAGTGGAAGGAGCAAAGGCGTGGATTCTGAAACAGTGAAAAGACGAAGCAGTGGAAGGGGAAGGAGAGAAGCCGTATTCGTTGGAAGTGATAGGTTCCATTTGTGGAGCAAAGCCGCACAAAGACCCAACACAGACACCTTGCGATTGTTCAATAACCAGCATTTGGTGAGTAATTTATGGAATTTGAGTTTAGGGTTAGAGTAACCGTTTTCCCCAATTTGTACCATGAATGTTGTTAGATTTGGCATCTCTTCTTTTTGCTTCACTTGCATGTTAATTTTTGCTTGGGTATATGTTAAAAAACAAATGAAAATAAAGTCAATAACATGTCAATAATGATATGAATAAGGTAATGGTGTTGAATTGGAGGAGGCCCTCAAAACCTTCCACATTTGAAGCAGTGCAGAGTGCAGATTATCTCTCTGGAGCTAGAATATATATAATTTTTGAAATAAATATTATTTCCGTTGTTACTAAATTTGCCTGTTAAAAATGAGAACAGATAATAATAAACTCATGAATAAAAGTGCAAAGCATTTGAAAAAAGGTTGATCTATGACGATTATGGCTGACTGAAGAAAAAGCTAGAAAGAAAGAAGGATGTGGCAATGGCTTAGCGAGCAGATAGCAGAGCAGATGCTTTGCTTTGCTTCCTTCCACCATCTTTCTTATTTATTTATTTATTTTGTGTTGTGTATGAGATGACAATAATTGTCATGTGTGTGAAGTGCAGAACTTGCCTAGATTGCACTCACACTCACTCATGCATCAACCATTGATTGGAGTTTGGATCCATAAATAAAACACATGCTATTGCTTGTAATTCACAGAATCATTGCATTAACAGGTATTTGCACAAAATATGTCATATTGCTTTGATGATGTTAAAGCCTGTGATCAGTAATCCCTATGCGCATGTACTTTGTAAAATTTGTAATGTGCTGGTTGACTAGTTGTGTAAATACCAATGTGATTGTGCAAATACGTGGTAGTATATGTGTTCACGTTATTTCATCTTGTATTTCAGGAAATGGGATCCAAACGTTGAGCTGGTATGGCCAGAGTCAGAGGCATATTCCTCACGGGTGAACAACTGCTCACATGCAAATTCATCCCTAGCTGTAATTCGAGCGAAGTTGAGTGCCGAACAATTAGAACAATTCAAGACATCATGCTTTGGCCATCTTCTGAATATAGATAAGATTCAGTTTAGCGGGCAGATTGTGCATGGGGTTGTGTTGCGTAGAGTAGCGGGGCAGGGTGTGAAAGACTTGGATGGACTGAGTTTCTTAATAGGGTGCGACGTTGCTCAGTTCACTCGTCAGGATTTCTGTTTGATCTCAGGGCTTCGTTTTGGGGAAGTGCCTGAAGTTTCCAGTGGAGAAAGTGATGAAATTAGACTTCAGAAAAGATATTTTATAGACGAAGGAATTACAAGTAATGCTTTAGAAGAAGCATTTGTGAGGTGCACAGAGGAAGATGACGTCTACAAGCTAGCTCTTGTTTACTTTGCTGAGTTAGTGGTTTTGGGAAGGGACAAACATTTGAACATCAATCTAAATTACCTGACCCTTGTAGAGGACTTGGATGCGTTCAACAGGTTTCCATGGGGTTCGGTGTCGTTTGACAAAACCCAAGACAGTCTGTTTTCTGCACCAACAAAGTATGTGAAAAGCTTTGAAAATGAAGAGGGAAGAGGGAAGGGGAAATGTAAGGTAACCGGAACAAGCCGGAGAAATGAGAAGGGCAAGAAGGATAACCATGGTGAAGTGCAAAGGGGTGGCTGGAGTTTTAAAGGTTTCACGTATGCTTTCCAGGTACATGGTAATAATGTTCATGTCGTTATGTTTTGTTGACTTTAAAACTTAAATAATAACTTGTGTCCTGTGAATTGTGTAGATTTGGGTATATGAATTAATTCCTAGAATGGCGGACCTGAATTACTGCAAGGTTGTTGATCCGACAGCTCTCCCGCGTATTTTGCGATGGAGAACTACTACGTCTGTTCCCGAGATGAGAAAGTTGAACAATTATTTTTTCCAGAGCAAAGAGGTTTGGTTTGCAGCCCTTGGAACTATTTATAAGATTCAATGAAATTATGAAGTAGAATGATTGCATATGACTCTTGTCTGTTTTCTGAAACAGTCAGTTCAGTTGCGGGCGCTATGTCCAAGTGAAGAGGAAATGAGACAACCATATTGGAGTTGGCCACAGGGTCGCCCTGCTGTTGTCTCGGCAGAGTCAATTCCTTCTTCATGTGCTGACCTTGATGAGTTGAACAAGGCGGTAAGCTTGTTGAGGTCCGAGTTGTTTCAAGTAAAGCGGGAAAAAGGACGTCCTTGAGTTAAAGGTCATACGGATGGAAAAAATTTTGGGCCACTGTTTAGGTCCTCATTTTGAGCAGGAAGTGAGAAGGGACATAGCTTTACTGAAAGAGAGGACGAATCGTTGTGTCGTGTCACATTTATTTAAGGGATATGAGGAAGTGGATGGCATGCAATGGGATGAAGGGCCAAGTAATAGAAATGAAGGAGAGGAAAATGAAGAGGAGGACATTGAAGGGGGTGAAGGGCCAAATAACAGAAATGAGGGAGAGGACAAGGAAGAGGAGGGGATTGAAAGGGGTGAAGGGGCAAGTAAGACAAATGAGGGAGAGGAAAAGGAAGAGGAGGGGATTGAAGGGGGTGAAGTGCCAAGTAAGAGAAATGAGGGAAAGGAAAAGGAAGAGGAGGGGATTGAAGGAGGTGAAGTGCAAAGAAAACCAAGGGAGGTAGAGGAAGCTCAAAGGAAAAGAAGTGAGGGAGAGCAAGTGAAAATAAAAAGCAGCAAAGGAAAGGAAGCGCAAAGAAAGAGCATTGAGGGAGAGGAAGAACTGCAAAGAAAAAGCAGTGAGGGAGAGGAAAAAAAAAAAAAAAAAAAAAAGAAGGCAAGGAAGTGAGAAGACAGAGAAGTGAGGAAAAGGAAGTGCAAAGAAACCAATGTGAGGAAGAGGATGATGAAGTTATGTTGGTTGGCGATGACATTGGCGAGAGCACGGAGGGGACAAAGGTTGAGGTTACTCTCGGGGACATTGATTTGGATCAACCTACAGCTGTGTTATCTCAGTTGAACGTTTGGTTGAATGATGAAGGTCAAGGTGTGGAACGAGGGGTCCAATTACGGAAGAGGAAGAGGATTATTCCTATGTGGAAGATCGTTGAAGCTAGTGAAGTGGTTCAAAAAAATTTGCCAAAGACAACCGGACTTCGGACGTTAGACCCAATGAAGGCGATTCCGCATGATGATATGGTGAAATTGCTGAAACTTTGTTCGGAATGGCGCCATAACCCAAAGTAAGTCCTTTGTTTTTTGAGATAGAAGGCATGAGTGTATATATTTTTTAATTGTTGTGTTTTAAAACTTTTTTATATTCATAGTTTGGTGATGCAATTTGGCAACGTGGAAGCTGAGATTGAATTCTTCGCTTCCCTCGTCAAAGCTGACGGTTGGCTGAAAGGAGATGTAAGTTTAATTGATTATGCATTTGTTTGAATGTGCATAGATTATGAGATTGACAAGGAAAACATGTGCAGCACATTGATTTGGGCTTGTATCTCATCCGGAAGCGACAACAACAGTTGGAGGAAGTAGAAATATCGGATTGGACAACGACCGATGTATTTTTTATGGTATGTGATGCAGGATGCATAGGACCTAAATTGTTTAGTTTCCTAATTGATTTGTTAGTTTCCTATATTCTTTAGTTTTCCAAATTCTAGTAGGATTTCTAAGTTAGTTTTCCAAATCCTATTAGGATTTCTAAGTTTCCTATTTTATTAGGAATATGATTTCTGTTTTACCTGGGGATTTTAATTCTATTGTCTCTAGGTTTTAGTTTGCTATAAATACCCCTATGTAGTTCTTTACAATTTAGATTTGAATATTGATTAAACATTCCTTTAAACTCTCTGATTTCTGCCTGCCTTCTACCTTTTCTTCCCTTCAGCTTTTCTTATCTGTTATGTCTTATTGCTCTAAGTGTTTAAACTAACACACCCAGGGCTGTGCTACATTAGTATGGCATAGGCCTTGACCAAGTGCAGTTAATAATTACAAATTATCCATACTTGCTTTGTGGAGGTGTTTAACCATTGATTGTTTTCTATTTCACAGAATCACATCCATACTTGCTTTGCGGATAATAAAAGGAAAAAAGAGCAAGTTGGGTGGAAAATTAGAACCAGTTTAGTGAACGTTGTAAATGGCAAGGTTCCGGCTTGTGGATTGGATTGGCAGAACACGTATAAGGTGTATGTACCTTGTATGTTGCAAAAATATAAGCATTGGGTGGCTCTAGAGATTGATCTGATTCAGTGTGAAATCAAAGTCTACGATTCAATGGTTTCACTCATTCCAGATCAGAGCTTAAAGGAAGAACTCGGCCCCCTGTCAATTACGATTCCAAATCTTCTGCACACCCTCGACTTTTATGAAGAAGGTGTTTACGCGAACGAGTGCACCCGAGATTGGTGGTGTCCATGGCCAATACATCGTGTGGATGTTCCACAACAGGCTAATCAGTGAGCACAACTTTTTATTTAATTTTATTACTTTAATTTGTCAATTACGTTAGAATGTCATTAGTTGAATTGATCGAGTTCTTGTTTTGTTTCAGAGGCGATTGTGGTATGTTCGTGTTGAAGTACATTGAGCTGTTGAGTGCTGAGATTTCCTTAGCTACTTGCACCTCGCAGAACATGCCATTTTTTCGGTTGAAGTTGGCTGCAGAAATTGCACGGGGAGATGCTTACATGCCATGATATCGGTTGAACTTGGTTTAGGCACATGATGATGAAATAGGTTTTGGGAATGTCAAATTTCAAAGTCATGTAAATACACAATAGAGACCCATGGGTCCTTTTCGAATTCCACCTCTGCTCCTGAATTCTTCTTCGTCTTTCTCAATCTTAGTGTATTTGTGTACAGAAATTTAGATTTAAGTTACTGGACAATAACAATTAGAACCAAAATAGTGGCAAATATTATAGCGGATGCATGCTTTCATTTTGATTAGTGTGATATTACGCTATGTTTATTCTCATATTGTGCGAAATGTATATGGAGCTGGTTGCAGAGCATAGAAAAATGAAGAATCTGAAATGGAGATGCTGAGGGTTGGTGAGGAGAAAAGTAAATGGATCTGTAAATCTATTGCACGTGGGCAATCTAAATGGATAGGCAGATGCGTTTTTGAAGTTAGACACATGCCATTCCCATACATAGAATGTGCATATGGAGTGTAAAGTTTTTTTTGATGTAATGAAACAAACATCGGTGTAATATTGGCCTAACTCCTTCACGACATTTACCCAACCTCAACCAAAACTGCATTGAATTGGGATTTGAAGACTGCATATGTGAATTGGGATTTGAAGAATGCATATTCACATAGGGACTGATGGCTTTTTAAGTGTATTACATCATTGCAAAGTGATATGTCATCATTTATCCAAGCCACCATTCCAAATATCAGATCCCAATCTTTAAGCCGTTCAACATGCCTTGACTTAATCGCAATGGGTTGCATCTTAAGAAGGTAATTCTGTAAGGGGAATAGGCGGCTATGGGCCTCGCCTCCAATATTTTATTCAACCATGCCCTCCTTATAGAAAACACATGAAAAAATGTCCCCAGGTGCAATGCTCTAAAAACTCCCTATTGGTTCCGCACTGCCCCTCGGGTTTGAATCCCTCTCTCCTTTATAATCGGTTAAAAAATTGGTTGATTTTCTTTATTTTATTGGTTTTGGGCAGCTGAGTAACATAACAGTAATGTATATTGGTGCGTCTATATTGCATGTCTGTTGGGTCTATATTGCTTGTCCATTGCGTGCATATCTTACATTTATTGCGTCTGTATTGATTTGTATTGCTTACGAAGGAAATAAATAACAATACACAGGCAACAGACAAGCAATATACACGTAATAGACATGAAATATACACGCAATAGACATGCAATAAACATCAGTCCCCAATTACATCAACCATAAGGAAGTCGTATTGAATAGGAAATTCTACTTAACAGTTGTTCTTCCTACTAAAACAAAGAATAAAGACCGTTTCCCCCCTTAAATCTAACTTGTTTCAAACAATAATTTAAACTCAATGCCAATCCACCTATTTGAATAACAAAAATTACAAATTGGGTTTGAAAAGTCATTGGTGGTGCGTGCAACATGTGTTTTTGGGGAGAACTTTTACAATCCTTGAAACCGTGCACTTAATTGGTCATTAAAAGAACAAATAATATGACAATTGATACAACTAATAAAACTAATACCAAGTCCTTAATGGACTTCAGCATATTAAGCATGTAGCATCATACGTGTCAGCTTGCTGATCTGCTTCAGCGGAGGTTACATCAACCCATTCGAATCCATTGCAACTGGTGGCTCCCTAATTGCAGGCATCATATATGCAAAATAATTCTGTCAGAGTTAGACCTAGGATTTTTTTTCACCCACATACATATTCTGGAAATGAGAACTTACATAGGAGGTTAGACACTTCCAAAATGGCTTCCCTCGATTTTTATCTGATTTTGAAACCCGAAGCACCATTGCAGCTCCACAATACTGACACCTCTTTGTTTGAGCGGGAGATGAAGACGAAGACATGTTGAATCTTATCACTTGTACCTCTTCTCACTCAGATCTTCTCACTAAAACCTCTTCGGACTCATACCTTCTCAGTTATACCCTTCCCTCATAAGTCATAACCCTAAACTTCTCACTCAGCTCTCTCTCATCTCTGCCCAAATCGAATTATATCCTTCTTTTCTGTGTGTGGGTGGGTTGGTCACGATCTGGACACCTGTACCGTCAGAATTGTGACACATTTTACTCCGAAAAGCGATATATTATTTCACTACCAATTAATCTTAAAATTGAGGGGACACTGCTTTAAATATATTATTTTCTTTATATTTCATTAAGGCAACTAGTTGGATAAGAATCCGTCATTTACTAGGGGTAGTGTGGTGTGGGAAAATGAAAAAGTATCTGATGGGACCTTCTATCACTAGTCAGTAATCCATCACATTTGTATCAATGAATTTAATGGCGGGAAAAGCCTAACAATGGCTATGGAAATAGGTTATTAATTGACTTTTGGACGGTCTGACTCCTTTTGCATTTTGATGACGTTTTCCCTTCGCCTGTCTTATGTTTTGGGTGTTGAGTTCAGTTTCTTTAAAAAGGGTCAACTTGGAAAAACCCCAAGGAAACACCTTTTCAAAACAGTGCAAACAGAGGCTAAAACAAACCCAAAACCCCGTATATTCTCATTTCTCCCCTCTTGCAGTCCTCAAATCGTTCCATTCCAAAAATATTTCAATGAATTCGAAACATTACACTACAGTCGGAGGAAAGAGAAGGAAGCATCTCCATCTGGATGTGCCTCAAGCCTTCATCCCGGAATTAGCTTGGTTTAAAGTGATGTTATACGTGGCAACCCAATCCTCGGAAGATCTCTTTCGTATGGCATCTGTGTGCCCATTGTTCAATACGTTGGCAAACACTCCACAAGTGTGGAACACAATTTCAATGGAAAAGTACCAAGACCATCCTAACTGGTACTATGCCTCAACGCAGGTCCGGCATTTCGTGGACCAATGCAGGGCTTGCGAGAACCCTGAGGCGATATTTAGAGAAGCGTTCGACGTGTTTTTCAGGCAGGGTAATGTGGAAGCATTTTTTGGGATGCGCGTTGCAGCCACGGCAGGCCATATGGAAGCGTCATATCTAGTTGGACTACTTGGCATGTCCGGAATTGGTCAGTCAAAAGAGGATGCATTAGAATTCTTGTGTTCTTTGAATCAACGTAACAACATTGATATGAAAGGAACCAGGGATGCTTTGAGACGATGATTAAGCGGAATTTTCTCTGTTGGAAGACATATCGTAGATATGTTTCACTATGGGAAGATTAAGTTCAATCAGTGCAGCGCTTGTAACAACAAGGACTGGTGTTTTGTTATTCCAGGCTGGCCTAGTGAAGAAAAGATCAATCCTGCCTTCTGGACTTGTTGCAATCGATGCAAATGGCACCGTGAGAGTGTTTTTTGGTTCAAGGTGATGCGTGTCTATGTTGTGCCAGGGAATCCATACCCTTATAATTAGTTGGAGTATGTTTCTACGGTTTTTATGCGTGTCTATGTTCTACAAATGTTGTTTTCTATTTCATGTTTTAATCTATTTTGTCTGGTGTTTGTGCTGTCCTAAACCGTTTTATATATAAATGTATAATATTTGTTATATAGTGGAATTATTACTGACATAATTGACGGCTACGAATGACATTTTACTGACACAGATATTTTGCACAACTGCAATCTTAATATTTGGTAAACGAAAACGCATGCATGAAGTGAGTATGTGTCTTTTTACCGGTTCTTGGGAATGACATTTTCCCACTTAGCATATCCCAAATGATTGGGTTACACGTTTCTTAAGCAAAACTTGAACAGTGAAAGACTTTGAATAATTATTTCCTGATGTTGTAGAATGGATGGCTTGTATATTTCCATTTTATGTTTGAAAACATCCCTTAAACCTAAAAAAGAAAAAACATTAACAAATTGAAGAAGAGAGAAACTGATTAGCACCAGAAATGGTCTATTCACACGGAAAATAAAAAAAAATTAAAAATTTGGAGTAAATATAATTAACAAATGTACAAGCTAACAAGTAATATAACAATAATAATAAAAATAATTTTGGATAAATAATAATAAAATACTAATGTAGCGTAACCATGAAACAGGGAATTCAGGAGGAAGATGAAGTCTCAATGAGGTCGTAGCAATTTTCGGAACATTATTGTGATTTTTGTGTATTTAGTTATAAAATAATAATTAGGGTAAAAGGTAAGGATGTGGCCATGTTGACTGATGCACACTTGTCAAGGGGTGAAAGGTGAGGGGCTGAGATCGCGCTAGGTGTCCATTTGGCAATCATTTTGGCTTTTTTAGTGCAAAAATCTTTGAAAAAATGCAATAAATAGTAGAAAAATCCTAAAAATGCCCCGAAAAATACTCCGGCCTCCGTGTGACGTTATAAAACAAGGGGAACCCATAAATCATCCATTTCACAATTAAAAATTCAAAAATGATTTACATAACTCACTTTCCTCTTAACCCTAAGTATATATGTTTGTTAACTTTAACTTCAGTAACCTACTTCAACAAGCATCTCCCGTTAATGTTCGGAATTATTTTTTAAAATGTGTAACCACTAATCGGGGAATTCAGCAAGGGAGATGGAGTCTCAATGAGGTCGTAGCAATTTTCGGATCATTTTTCTGATTTTTGTGTATTTAGTTATGATTTTTCTAAGAAAAAGTCATAAAATAATAATTTAGGGTAAAAGGTAAGGATGTGGCCATGTTGACTGACGCACACTTGTCAAGGGGTGAAAGGTGAGGGGCTGAGATCGCGCCAGGTGTCCATTTGGCAATTATTTTGGCTTTTTTAGTGCAAAAATCTTTGAAAAAATGCAATAAATAGTAGAAAAATCCTAAAAATGCCCCGAAAAATACTCCGGCCTCCCTGTGACGTTATAAAACGAGGGGAACCCATAAATCATCCATTTCGCAATTAAAAATTCAAAAATGATTTACATAACTCACTTTCCTCTTAACCCTAAGTATATATGTTGTCACTTTAACAAGTATATTTCCTTAATATTCGTTATATAATTTGTACTAATACAAGAATTAGTTTCCTTTCATATATAAGGATGTAAAATTATCTGTTTTGGTTATAATAATGTACATATATAATAAATGCACCACTACTTCGAAGCCATCATTGGAACTGCGCATGCGCCTAGAGCTTTGAAGACGTCAGAGATAGTCAATAAGTTGTCCATATGCACCTGCACCTAGAGTTTTCAACACGTCGGCGGTATTCAATAAGTTGTCCTTATGACGCCGCATTGGGAATCAGTAATATATTTTCTATCATGTCCAATCGCATAAACATATAATATAAAGAAATAAAGCAATAGTAGGAGATGAACCAGTACAAAAAACAATATATAACTGGTACAAAATAATGCCATAACCTTGTCACAAAACCACTCACACATGCTTTTCCATAAACCTTACCCTAACATATAATACATAAAGGCAACATTGCATATGATGCAACCATGTCCAAATCTGATACGTGATCACAAAAAATGGACATGGCAGCAACATATGACTGAAGTAGATGGGCACTTTGCATCGTGTTATCGTAATTAAAGACATCAAAATATGAAGGTTGAAATCTTCTATAGTAGTAAGCATCAAAATAGGTTTGAAGCAGAGTTTAACGAAAATTCCAGTTCCTCTGATTTGCCTCTACTCAAACACGATAACCAAAATGGTTACTTCCCTTGCTGAGTATATTTGTTAACGTCGGAAACGGTAATAGATGACCAATCAAACCCGGGTACGACGAGTTTTGCATAGGACCGGAAGTAGTCGAATCCAGCTTGCATCACACGCTTCTTTGACTCCTTTGCATTAGATGAGTTCTTGTATTTTTGAACAGCTACACTCCGAAGTCGTTTGTGTCTACGCTTCATGCGCTGCAACTTCGCCCTATCCAGATTGGCCTGCCTTTTGTCATCTTCAATTTGGCCTTCAACAAATTCCAAACGTACCCTTGCCCTTTGGATTTCATCACCAAGTTGAAGATGCCTCTCCTTCCAGAAAGCAAGAACTCTTTCAGACTCAAAACTTCCAACAAAATGGTCATTCTGTCTAGGAAAGTGACATTGCTTGTCTGGTGACTCACTTGTGTTTCGAAGGCGGTCTTTGTTTGGAGGGGTGTTTATTATGCTCACATCAAACTTGGTTAGTAAATCCATTTAATGGGGGGAGAGAGTTTCTGTGGAGGAGAGAGTTTCAGTAGATGGAGACAGATTCGGTGGAGGAGTGAGTTTTTTGTGGAGGGAGAATTTTTATGAAGGGGGTGATAGTAATACCAATAAAAAAGGGTTCCCGCCAAAAAAAACATTTGGTTGACAATGTATAAATGAAAAAAGGTCTCATACAATCTAAGTTTAATCCTAACTAGTTTGTTTAGTTTGGTTGGGTTCACTAACTAGATGTCACTTCCATTGAGTTTCTTTCAACCACTAACAGTGGTGTAAGGAGAGTGTGAGGTTGACATGCTTGAAAAGCAAAACCTGACACCTCTTTTTTTAAAATTGAAATAAAGTAGATATGTTGACTACACGCAAGCTTTGGTATGTTGGTTTATAAAGCTATGTTCCATTTCTCAAACGAAATTGCATCTGCAATCCTCATCCTCTAAAACAAATAGGATTATTCAAGTATGTTAACCTCTTCAGGCGCCAACAACACAATCGAAGATGAAAAATTGGAGTCGCAGGTTCCGTTTCCACGTTGTACTCGCCGACCCCTTCCATTTTCAACATCATTTGGGAGTGAGGGGGACTCCGATGATCCATTAGAGGCAATAGATGCAGTCAGTACCAAGCTGGATTATAATTCCAGACTGATCAATTCATGGCACGAGAAATGTGTTGAAGACGAGGCCATTTTGGCTGATCTTAACATTAGAGTGAACAAAGCGTTCTCCCAAAAGAACAAGTACTTGAAGCTGAGTCATAAAAGGAAGCTGAAAGCTGAGGAGTTGGATGCCGTAATGAATGATGAAATTAAAGGTTGTTTGATGAACCATATGCGATGCGAAGAGCACCACAGTGAACTAGAGTTGGCATTCAACGAAGGATTCGAAAAATTCCGAGCATTCGCGGCAACTACTCATACAAGTTATAATTGGGACTATGTGTCCCCTGATGCTGTGAGAGAGATACTAGACGATGGTGGTGACATGAATGAGCATAAGCACGTCAAAGCTGCTCGGAAGAAGCCGACCGATACGACTAAGTGATTGCGGCTACAGCTGTTCTGTTGGTTGGGGGTGATCGTGGTATTGCACAAATTAGAACTATATTCCCTTAATGTCATTATCTAATATAAAATAATACAAATATCAGTTTCATTTGCTTCATATATAATTATTGGGACTATGTCTTGCAAGTCATCATGTGTTCCTTCTGTCTAACATTATATTTTGCAAATATGGAAATATTATTCAATAAGCAGTCAATATCACAGCACGTTGGGAATCAGTAAAGCCCCATTATCATGACACGTGAGTCATAAGTAAAATACCATGTGTTATACATTGTGTAGTGAATGGTTTATGGTTTATGTATATATAATAAAATTTCAAATATTGCTGAATATTTATTTTGTCTATATCACTGGGGACATGAGTGACCATAAGCACGTGAGACCTGTTAAGAAGAAGCTGACCAATACGACCTAGTGATTGTGGCTACCGTTGTTCAGTTGATTGGGGAGATCGTGGTATTGCTATGAGGGAGCACATAAAATGCTTTGCAATCAAATTTTCTTTTGTGTGTGGAATTATGAGTAGTTCAAATGTTAGTGTACCCTTTAATATTACCCAACCATTCAAAATGTGATTAGCTGCAAGTACTTTTTTACACGTTGCTTTCTAATCTTTCTGTTCCACCAAAGTGCTTCAAGTATCCTTCAGTTACGAATGTTTGCAAAATCGTGCACCTAATAACCAGTCCAGCTCAGATCTTAATCACCACTAAAACACTAGAACATAACATTCGCAAAAAGTGGGTGCTGCTACAAATGATGCGTGCTGCTGGAAATCATTACTGGTAATGGAAACAACAGCTGGCTGCTGGAAATGCTGCATTAGCCTGTCATATAATCAATGAATCTCTGTTAAAACATAATTCACCATAAACTACCCATTTTACAAGGTAAAAGTCATTGCTTCTTCACATAAATCAAAATTTGATGCTTTATCTAATGTCTATGAAAATTTCTAAATAGGGAGAAGACGTAAAATTAACATGTGTCCAAATTTCATGCAAGAATGAAACCAAGCAAATTTCATTTCAATTATCAATGGACATAGTAAGAGCTCATCGGTGGACATGAACAAAAAATAATAATAATAAAAAAACTGCATCTAGAAAACTTCACCTGATCATTAGTCTTCATAATAACCGGGCTTCGTATAATAGAAACCTAAATCATTGAGTTGGTCCGTGCATCCTGTAAAATTCGTCGAATAATGGGTCATTAAGATCTATTGGAGTTGATTCGTCATTGTTCGATGGTGATGTCCTGCATAAACATCAAACAGAAGCACATAAGAACTTTACCTATTCAAATTTTAGGTCTTATTATAAATAGTGTTAACATCTTACGGTGTGTTCAAATTTCTTGGGCATTGTCTTCTATCATGACCAATGTGTCCACACTCCCGACAGTGTCTAATCCCTCGCTTCATTGCCTTTTCCTTTGCTCCCGTTACTCGTTTCGACCCTCCATTGCACCTTACTCTCTTAGGGTCTTTCATATATTGTGTTTGAGAGCTGGACCCTCCAACTTCGTTATTACTTGGTCCATCCTTCAACAACTTCAACTTCACCTGCAAACTTTTTAGAGTCTCTGACAGTAGCTCACATCCTTCTTCACACATTAATGCATCCTCAACCACATCTGAAGCAAGTCGGGACATTGTACTCCGCTTTATTAAAAGACCAGGATTTGCAGAGTCTTTAATTTCGTTGCCATTTGCATCTGACACCAATCCAAATTTCGCAATTTTCTTCCACCTCTTCAAATGTATTTATCGGGCATATATTCAATTTGGTCCCTTCTGAACAATGCTAGGATGTGCTTGCAAATAATTCCAACAAATTCAAATCTTTTGCAACTACACGATGTGTGGTCAGAATCTTTGACATATACGACTTCTGCCACTCTTGTTTCCCAATTTTTCCTTTCGCTCACATTAAAGACAACTTTAGAAGCATCCTCTGTTTTCAGCTCTAGGAAACATGCTGTACTTTGTATTAGTTCTTGCTCAAACTTTTGAAACATTGTCCTTGTGTACAAGGTAGCCATTTGTTTGTTCATGGGCATCGGTAGAATACATTGAGCCACTTCAAATGCATCTACGTGATCAGCAACTAACTCTTTTTGACGTTGATGAGAAAGTGCCCTCTCAAATCTTATTATGAAATCCATCAACGAATTTCTCCTTGATATGTATTGCTTGAAGAAACCATGAGAACATTCCGCTCTTTGGCTGCTTGACATTCCAGCGGCAAAAAAGTGTCGTGCGTAGGCTGGAACCCAAGATTCCCTTAAATCAAACATTGAACTTAGCCATGGATGGTCAGTCAAACCAGCCTTTGTAACCACAATATTCCATTTTGCATCAAACTCATCCTTATTGTCAGTATCCCATATGGCTTTCTGGAATTCACCCCAATACTCCTTATAAGCAGAATGTGGTAACTTAACAGAGAACTTTGATGTGATGTGCCATATGCAAAGTCGATGAAATGTAGTCGGGAAGGCTATTGAAATCGCTCTGCTCATTGCCGCATCTTGATTTGTGATGATCGTTTTAGGTTCGCCACCTGGCATGGCTTTCTTAAACTCCTCAAACATCCAAATAAACGACTCAGTCGTTTCCTTGCTCAAAAATGCGCATGCTAGGACAATTGTTTGACCATGGTTATTAACTCCCAACATTGGTGCAAATGTCAAGTCGTATCTATTCGTGTTGAATGTGGTATCGAATACAACAACATCTCCATAAAACCCGTACGCCCGTCTAGAAGTTGCATCTGCCCAAAAACATCGACTAAACCTGTTATCGCCATCTCCCTCAATCTTGAAATAAAAAGCCTCATTTTTTTTTCTGTTCAGCCATAAAATACTCGGTCACTAGTTCAACATCGTGGTTCCTCAGCTTCCCATTCACACTACATTCAAGATTGTACATATCCTTTTTGATAAAACCGATTTTATCCATTCCTCCGGATTGCACCTCGAAAATACTTACCTTCTGATTAATGGGAATATTAACCGAACCCAACTGTTTTGTAAGTACTTTTGTAGAATCTGAAATACGACGGTGTGATCTCAGTAAATGCATTCTTCCTGAGGGTGTCATCTTATGATTGTGTCCCTCTGCAAAAAGAGAGATGGTATACTTCTTGCTCCCATGTGTCTTCACAACCACAATCTTAGCTTTGCAATTGCATCTACTTATTCCCCGCTGTCTTTTTCTCTCCCGAGTTTCATCATTCCGGTATGCACCTTGTTTGCAACATACAAATTCTTTTCTCAGAATCTCTTTCTTATTTTTCCCCCAAAAGCTGGAATGAAGTCGAATACCAAAGCCAGCCAAGAATGCATATCTATTATAGAAATTATAAACGAGGTCAAGCGAGTCGAACTTCATCCCAACTGCTGGTGTTTCCTCATTTCTTACTTCAGGAATGTAAACCCTCCCATTAGCTGTTACAGAGTCATCACTCTCTGAGCCCCCAGACATTTTATCCACGTATATTATTGATCTACTTCTATATTACTGCATAGCAAATGTTAATTCATTAATCAATCATTACTGCATCACAACTTATCAATGCATTCCACTTACACAAAACATTGCCCAAATTGACACAATACACGCATAGCCTAGCTTGTTGGATTCTGATTACACAAAACACAAGCAAAATTTAATAATAGTTACGTCATCTCTTGTGAAATAATCTGGAAAAAATAACATTAGAACCAACATGTTCAACTAAGAACTCAAATGTAATTCAAACCAGCAATTACAGAACTTCACCCAATATCCTCTCCAAATGCTTACTTCTAATGCCATTAAGCCTAAGTTTAGGATCTTTTACCTACATTTCATAATTTTCCAATCCCCCTCCAAACAAAAATAATCAACTAAGTATATTGAATATTCATAAGGAAATGACGCATTATTGATAGCAGAGCAAATGACGCATTATTGATGCCACAAATGACAAATTTCTCACCCTCACAAAAAACAAATCAAACCCAGCAAAATCAATCCAGCAAGAGTGAACTTACCTCTCAAAGTCAAATGACGCATTATTGATAGCAGAGCAAATGACGCATTATTGATGCCACAAATGACAAATTTCTCACCCTCACAAAAAACAAATCAAACCCAACAAAATCAATCCAGCAAGAGTGAACTTACCTCTCAAAGTCAATCGGGAGCTCCGAACTCAGTCAGCTTCAAAGAATGTGGTGGACATTAGAGAGGATTCTTTCGTAGTGGAGACTCCATCTCTACCAAAATCCAGGAACAACTGCAGCAGCACGAAAAAAAGATATGCTACTTTGCTTTCATCTGGAATCTCTTCTGCTGAACGAAAAAGAGAAGGGGTTTTCACTTCAATCATAGAATCAAAACAGGGCAATAGCTAGGTAAAAGCCATTAATCATCATACCGAGGATACCATAGATCGCAGGCCTCCCAAGGAGCTGATGACAATGGAGCGATTATAGAGTTTGGGAGCTTTGGATCTTTCTAATTGTGGATTTGCATTACATTAAAAAAGAGAGGATTGTGTTCTTGAGTTTTTCACAGAGAGGGAAAAATCTTCAACTGAAGTTGGGTTTCCAAACGGGTCAGATTTCAACCCGGTTCTACATGCACCCTCTTTTAAAAACTCACCGTTGGATGAAATCCAACGGCTCTTACATACCCCTCAAAAAAACCCCTTATAACTTTCCACTCACTATAGAAGCACTCGAGATCAACTTCATGATGGATTCATGCTCTCAAAGCTCATTGAAGGTAATTCATATTTTATTGCATTGCATGCATTGTAGTGTTTTCTTTTGCATGATTGGTCATCATTGTTTGTCATGTGTTACTGCCACATCATTTATTTTTCACGTGAGCTTGCTTCTGTTGCCAACTGTAGTTTTTCTATCTTAACCATTTTTGTCCTATTCTAGCTCTTATCATTAGCTCACCAGTGTCTTTATTGTGTGATGCCCTAATTTATCAAAAGGGTGGTTAATGGTAGAGAGCATCCAACACTTTCATTTCTAGATTGTTGAGATGCATCTTTTAGCTCTGCCATTTTCTTTGTGAGAGTGTTCATGGTTTTTAAAATGAGGTTTTCAAATAGCTCTTGAAATCTGCTTCTATTTTTGAAATTGACTTCACCCATTAAGAATTTTTTGAGAAAAAACTTTTACAATGCATTTTCTACTTGGTGAGGCCATGGTTTTCAAATTGAGATTTCCATATTGCTTTTGAAATATGCTTCTGTTCTTCAAAATCTGCATCTAGCATTTGATACACTTCATATGTTTAGATCTAAATCAAATTCTCTGCTCTTCCTTCTCTCTCCTCCTTGATTCCTGTAAAAAAGATCATATTAAATAGACCATGCCCAGAGGGTGTTGACCAAAGGCTCTCTGATGCCTAAGTTAGGTCGATTGAATCTAGGAGAAACAACAGCTAAAAAAAAGGTACGGAGATGCATTTATGGTGAGAACCGGGTGGCCGGAGCCGTGTGTGGTGGCCGGAGCCTTGTGTGATGGCCAGAGCTGTGTATATAAAATATGGAGAGAGGAGAGTTGACAAGACTCGACTCGAATTCCACCTCAAAATTCGTGTTGAACCCCGTTATCCATCTGACATCAAACCAATGCCGAGCGCACTTACTAAAAACATCCCTTTCTCTGAAACAAAGGAAAAAAGGGTTGAGACTTGTACTGAAATTTCGGCAAAAGCCTCTCTTGAAAAATGGACTTAAACAAAGTTTTCCACCTGTAAAAAAATAAAAATAGAAATAGAATACCAACTGCCAGCACATACAATGCAACAGCACACCAATTTCAAAATAGGCCTCCGGCCTTAACTTCAACCCTCCCTACACGGTTAATGTCAAAGCAGTTTGAAAATCTCTAGTTAAACAACCAAAGTAAAGGTTTCAAGAAATGGACAACAAGTGTCCTACAATTAAGTCGAGGCACGAGAAGAGGAAGGCTCGGCCTGACTACTCGGTTCGCGTCAACTACTACCTTGGGGGGGGCGCAAAACAAAAAAATTTGAGTGAACAAAAATAAAGTTTTAAACATAAACAATAGCAACGTACTAACCCCACCGTTTTAGAAAACGATGCCAAAACATGCAATTAAAACCATTTATTTACAATCACAAGCAGTTCTAAAAGCTCAGGCCAAAATCAATCATCACTCCAAAACGGGTTTCAGACCCGTCATGGCCTGCACACTTTAACCACATCCATTCAGTAAAACTAGAATAAAAACATGCATTTAATCTCACCCAAGTTTCAATTAGGCTTCAGGCCCCCCGACATATTCAAAATCAAATTCAACAAAAATAATAATTTAATTCACTGCTGCACCTAGGTGAAACCCCAGGTTACCTACGTACCTCTTGGTGAGGGATCAAGCCACACGTAGTTCTTACGACATAAAGGATCATAATTCAGAAATATACAGATATTGTCCAAGTAAAACCAACAATTAAGTTCATAATTCATTCTTAACTTCAATTTCCACAAGGCATATAACTAAATATTTTATAAACTCCTTTCTTCCCATGATTCAAACTCAAAACCATTTCCATGTAGAAACTCACATGAACTATGCATAACTCTTTTAAAACTAATCATTTTCTCTGAACTCAAATTACCTTTTGAAAATCATTTTTTTCCCACAATCATACCATATCCAAGGCGTATATTGCAAAACAACACTGTTCAATCATCATAACAATGATCACACCTATGCAGAGCACTCACCATGCACATGCTCAAGAAACTCCAATCCAAAAACGAATCGACATATTTTCCCACCTAGATAAAGAGATATATATATATATATATGTAAACACACTCCATACCATCATCATGTACCAGAGGAAAAAAATCTAACCGGGGGATTGTTTGACTAGACCACATGAAAGATTCCTCAATAACCATGTGGCTAGGGAACGAGTCATCCAATCGGGGGACTACCACTCTATAGCACACGCGCCAGAAAATCTAACGCCACGTGTGGCACATGTGTAGACTGCCCCGCCAAGAACCTACGGCACACCCACATGCCTGAAAATCCAACACCATGTGTGGTAAAGTGATAGTAACTAAGTGAGCCCACACGTCGAAAAATCCAACGCCACGTCTGGGTTACGTAACCAGGGAAGGTACATATCATAGTGCACATCATGTATCGGTGGAAAACAATCCAACACGGGGATTGTTTGACTAGCCCGCAGGGTTTCAACTTTTTACCATGCGTCTAGGGATGAATTTTCCAATCGGGCGACTACCGCTCTACAACACACACGCTGGAAAATCCAATGTCACTTGTGGCCATATCAAAGCATGTCCTACGTGTGCAGACTGCCCCGCCAAGGGCGTACTACACACCCAACCAAAGGTGCCTGAACCTTTACCACATGCCGGAAAATCCACAGCACGTGTGGTTAAGTGACAGTAACTAGTATCCAAGGGAGCCCACACACCGGAAAATGCAACGCCACGTGTGGTATTTAGGGAAGGTACATATGATGGTGAGATTCAAAAACCCATATATATAATGTAAAATAATATACCCACCCTTAATTCAATTTTCCCAAATTCTCAATATTCCAAAGTACCCAAATATTTATTCATAGTATAGAAAATAAACTCTCAAAAGCATAAATTCCATAAAGACCCAAAATATCATTAAAATAATAATCAAAACTTGCTTACACATGCAATTTCCATAAAATATTTTCATAGTTGAACCCCATATCACCCAAACCATATACTTTAATAATAACCATAATAATTATCACATCCCGAGATCAGCTCTGTTGTAGAACGATATTGTCCGCTTTGGGCTCCCCTCTCTGCCCTCACGGTTTTGTTTCTGGGAACTCACGAGTAACTTCCCAGTGGGTCACCCATCCTGAGATTGCTCTAGCCCCAACTCTCTTAACTTCAGAGTTTCTATGACTCCAAAGCCAGTGAGTTCCCAAAAGGCCTCGTGCTAGATGGAGGCGGGTATGTACATATAAGGCACATCACCCCCTCTCCGTTAGTCGATGTGGTATGGTACAATCCACCCCTCTAAGGGGCCCGACGTCCTCGTCGGCACACTCATACCACACGGCATAATGGCTCTGATACCAAATTATCACATCCCGGGATCAGCTCCGCTGTAGCACGATATTGTCCTCTTTGGGCCCCCCTCTCTGCCTTCATGGTTTTGTTTCTAGGAACTCACGAGCAACTTCCCAGTGGGTCACCCATCCTGGGATTGCTCTAGTCCCAACCCGCTTAACTTCGGAATTTCTATGACTCCAAAGTCAGTGAACTCCCAAAAGGGCTCATGTTAGATGGAAGCGGGCATGTACATATAAGACACATCACCCCCTCTCCGTTGGTCAATGTGGGATGTTACCATAATAATAATTACATATTTTCTATAATTCTCAAGTCATAGTGTAAAAGCCGGAACCAATCCAATAGCACATTTTCATAAATCCATTAACCAAATACTAATTTTCAAACCATTCAGGTTTTCACCATCAAATTTGAATTCCAGGCTCGCACAAAAAATATTGTCATTCAACATCAAATCATGCATCAATTCACACCATCCCCTATCTTAGTTTATATCACACATATATACATACATTCCAATATTCCGAAAACAATGCACATTTAAAACAATTTTTCATTCACTACCTAATAATCATAGTCAAGTCCCAAGACTTGCTTTCACAAACATTCAATCAAATATGCCATAATCATATATTCCACAACTCCAAATGTTTCATAAACTTCAAATATCAATATAACATCTACCTTAGTTGACACTTCATAATTGAAGTTTCTTGAAAAACCATAAACTATTCTACTAAATTTTGACGTTTTTAAAAAACGTCAACTATATAACTGTTTTCTTGACATTTTATAAAAAAAACGTCACCCAATGAAGTATGACTTTGACGTTTTTAAAAAAACGTCAACTGAAGAAACAATTTCGTGACATCTATTAGAAAGCGTCAGCTACTCTTTAAAACAAAGGGACAATAAGGGCCCGTTCGGTATCATTTTCAAGGGCCATTTTCTGTTTTTGTTTTCTGTTTTCATGTGAAAACGTGTTCGGTGGGTTGTTTTGAGAAACAAGCTGAAATTGTTTTCTGGGAATGAAAATGAAAGTATGAGTAAATGTTGAAAACGCCAGAAAGTCGTTTTTGTTTTCGGCGTTTTTGTTTTCAGTCTCTCCGAATCAAAGCCAAGTCTCCTCCGTCACTTGAGCAAACAATCCAATCAAATTGTATCCAAAACAATCAAATCTCCTCCTTCCAACCATAATCAGCCCCAAAATTTCTAGAAAAAAAAACTCATAATCACACAAATCTGCAACTAAGAAAAAAAGACAGAGAGGAAGAAGAAAAGAAAAAAAAGGGGAAGAAGAAGAAGGGAAAGAATCAGAAAGAGGGAGAAGAAGGGAAAGAATCAGAAAGAGGGAGAAGAAGGGAAAGGGAGAGAGAGAGAGTTGCAGAGGGAGAGATGAGAGAAACCAGCCACCACATACCCAGCTCAACCACCATCACCACCCAATCTAACCATCACCACCCAATCTAACCATCACAACCATTAATTAGTGGAACCGGAGAGATGGGTTGATGGGATTCGTGTAATGGAAGGAAGGAGGAGTGAGAGTGAAAAAGAAGGAAGGAAGAAGAAGAGAGAAAGTAGAGAAGAGGAAGAAGGAAACAAAAAGGAACGGGTCTGGGAAGGAAAGAGGAAGAAAAGAGGAGAAAGAAAGAAAGAAAAGGAGAAAAAGGAGAAAAGAAAAAAGAAAAAAGATAGTTTTATCTTTTAAAAAACAATAGAATTTTTCATTTGTTAAATTATACATTTTAAATAATATTTTTTCAAAACAGAAATTAGCAAAAATACCCTTGAAAATAATTCGCATAATATTATTCTCAATTTGTACTACCAAATATATTTTCATTGTTTATAATAATTTAGCCTCTAAAAATATCAGAATTTTTAAAAAAGTAGAACTGAAATTAGCAAAAATACACATGAAAAACAATTGTACTACCAGACATGTTTTTATTGTTTTTGTTTTCTAAAGATGTTTTCTAATTATCTACCAGACACATTTTCATTTCCTAAAAATACAAATTTGTTTTCTTGTTTTCATTCTCTGAAAATATTCTCAGAAAACATTCTCCGAAAACGTTACCAGATGAGCCCTAATCATCCATTTGTTTTTTATTTTTAAAAGAAAACCTAAAAGCTATTTCACTTTCCCTTTGCCTCTCTCTCTGTGCCTTGCGCCTCCCAGCCTTCTCTTTTTTTTTTTCCTCATCTCTTCCCTTTCCTTTCAATCGTTCTTGACTTCTCTCTCCAAAGCGTTCAGTTCCTTGGCTCGCTAGAATCTCGGCGGCGTTACCTCCGACGACCTTGATGATGCCATTCACGATTAGGTTTTCATCTTTCTTCAATCTCCTACCTTTTTCGTTTTATTTCTGTATTAATGTTTCTAGATCTCATGGTTTCTTTTGGTGCAGGTATTGGGAGGTGACGGATCTACAATTTTCTCTTTCTCAAGATCGCTATATCGCTCAACTCATCTATGTTCTCTCAATTTCTCGCTCAATTCATGTCTGCTCTCACGCTTTCCCTTAGTCATCTCTCTGCTCTTACTCTCTAATATGACAACGCTAACCTCTGAAACCACAAACCCACCGAAGTCCCAACTCTCCTCCCTCTACAACATTTGGTCTCAAATCAGTCCAAATTATCAATTTTTTATGTTGCTATGTTTGGGTTTCAGGCACAGTAAGCAAATTGTTTCTCCTGACTCCTAATTCTCCTTCAGGTAAAACCTAAAACACATTTATTTTATCTTATGGATGTGCATAGATTTTTTGGTTTATGTTGTTGTCCTAATTTCACTTCTCAAAACTGTGATGTCTTTTGTGTTTGGTATCACTGATTAACAGTAGTTGCTTGCTTACTTCGTTGTAACTTTCTAGCTTTGTTTTCGCTGGTTGTGATAAGAGTTTATTTAGAGTTCGATTTTCTGATATTACATATATGTGCTTAGTTGTTGTGAGCTTAGAATTTGTGTCATCTTAAGCTGCATAATTTTATACCACTGATTTAATCCCAGCTCCTTGGTTGTTTGTGTGTTCTGTCTTGTGTTGTCTATGGTCAAGCCAACTTACATAAAAAGTTAGAACATGCTGTGACATATATACTACTTTAATTATGCCAAACAAGTTCTGATTTAGACACATGGATATTAGTTGTGTTCTCTATTATTAAAGGTTCGAGTTTTCTGATTCATATTTGGAGTTTGAAGTTTCAATTTTAGGCTGTGATTTTTGCAGATTTTTGTTTTTTCAATTTCTATTTGGAGAGCATATGCAGATAAGGTGAGCATATTTCATATTATTTCTGGATTAGTTGCTCATTCATCAGTTTCTAATTGATATTGAGTTTTTATTTATTTATTTATTTTTATATACATTGAGTTTAGGTTTCAATCTTGGTCCATAATTTGTGCAGATTTTCAGTTTGATTTATATTTAGATGCACTTACAGACAAGGATTCTAGATTAGTTTTTGACTAGTTGTTGATGTGGTTTAATTTTCAGCTTGGCTATTAGGCTCTAATCATCAATTTTAAGTTATTCTTTGCTTTCCTCTTCTTTCTATTATTATTTTTGTTTGTGCTAACAAAGAGAAAGAGAAACAGAGAAAATGATAGCTGAGATTTAAGAAATTGGTTTCAATCTCTTTGACTAAATAATTACAAGTGGCCATAGAATTTATACTTGGGAGTGTGAGATTAACTAACTAAGCATGTGCCAATGCTTACTAATTGCGACTTGTAAGAGTTTGAGCTCTACTAAGCTCTGTTATTAGTTTGGAGTGGGTTGTGTTTGTATAATTTTTTTTTCTTAAATATCAGTTTGGAGTGGGTTTTGTTTAGATGTAGGTGCATATTGGTCTGGAATTTCTTATTCAAATTGTTTTCCCTGTTATCCTACATGCATATTGGTTTTCATGGTCATCATATGCTGTTTCAGGATTATTTATAAAGCAAAGACCAGAGAGTATTGGGATATATAAAGATGTGGATGGTGGTACAACAAATAATACGGTAATTGGTCTAGAACTACTTGTTCAAATTGTCTTCCTTCTTATCATATACGCATATTGGTGAGCTGACTTATGTTCTAGTCAATTGAATTTGTCTTTATCCAAGAGAATTCCCAATTTGTTAGTTTCTTTAGTTTCCTTTTAGTCTCTATAGTTTTTGGCTGACCTTGTGCTTTATATTTTTTGGTGTACATCAAGTGCAAGGCAAACAAAAGCAACTAACTGAGAATTGGATGTTCACTTGGCGTTGTACTGCAGAAAGAGTGGTGGGCACCCCATTGTTCCTTATTTTGTATTTTATTTACAAAAGGAAAATTACTGAAATGGTTGTTTTGGTTAATGTAATCGTAGGGTAACTGAAATCAGCAGCCCCATTTGAACTTGTGCAACCATATATGAAGAGGCAGCATCCCCATTCGAACTTCTGCAGCCATTTATGAAGAGGAGGAAGACACAATTTTCATGTGATATATGTTGATCAAGGTAATATGGGTTCTCTTCTTCTTTCTTATTGCGTACCGCATGTCTAAGGCAAAGGATAACTAATTGAAAATAGGAGGTTTATCAGATTCATTTAGGTTTGCAATATAGAACAAGCATGCACTTTTAGCCACTTTGAAAGTCATCCAAACAATTTCATTGTACCGAGATGATTCAATTACTAGCTAGTTATCAATTGTTGTAGGTCTTGATGACTCTTTGATCCATAAATTCATATTTTCTTAGATTGGTATGATTTGGGTGACTCCCAACCGTGAAGTGTTGGGCTGGTAATGGGCATTACTTGGAGCTGCTATGAGGAAAGTGAAGCTTCTAAGGGACAAATTCCTTATAATTGAGACTTAATTACTAGATACCTTGTTTCTTTTTAGTATGTTTAATTTTAAATTTAATTCATATTGTAATTGTAATAATATTTATAGACAACTTGAATGTTGTAACATTCATTTTATATTATTACAGTGAATGTACAATTTCCAGTCTTTTTCGGGAAGAAGCTTATTTAATTTTTTTTATATAAAATATTAGTCTTCTGTTACGTGACGGCTAAAATCCGTCAAGAAAAGAGCTCTTAAATGTCAACAAAGAGGTAAGTTTAAAAAGTGTCAAGGCTGACCATAAGCTGACGGTTTTTTCTATCATGTGACGGTTATTATCTGTCAGGGAAAATGTTTTCTTGACGGACAAAAAGCTTCAAGTGTGTGGGTACCCTTTTCCTGACACTGGTATTCTAGACGCTTTTTTAGCCGTAAATTAAATAGATTCTTGACACTTTTTAATCGTCACTAAAGTCAGTGTCATTCTAGACGCTTTTTTAGCCGTAAATTAAATAGATTCTTGACACTTTTTAACCGTCACTAAAGGCAGTTTTTCTTGTAGTGAATTCCATTCACTACCTAATAATCATAGTCGAGTCCTAAGACTTGCTTTCACAAACATTCAATCAAGTATGCCATAATCATATATTCCATAACTCCAAATGTTTCATAAACTTCAAATATCAATATAACATCCAATAACCACAAAACAACATAATTCACAATTAAAACTACAAAAAGAGTTCATAATAATCAAATAAATACACGCATAACATACCATTCTTGAAAACAATGATCATTAAAACAAACACAAAGCTCACGCTGAGAGGGCTCTTCCTCTAGGTATGCGAAGTGTGGGTACCTCACTTGAGAGCATACACGGATCTAATTAATAAGCGTACCCAATAAATAATTCTAACTCAACACTCAAGTTCTCGGGTCTCCAAGTCTATGCAACCTTCAAGAAGGTTTATAAGATCATTCTAATACTTTTCGAAAGGTAAAACTACCTCAGAAGACTCACGGTCAACCGAGGGGTAAAACTTCCCTTATTGGTCAACCGGCTAGTGGGGCCAGCGACCTCTGATTTTTTATCTAAAAGTTCTTATGCATTCAACACCGTCTACTAAACAAGTCCTATAAGTTTGGTTTCGATCGAGCGGTCGGATGTAAGCCAATCACACGATCAGACGATGATCGCTTCGCCTAACACTAGAATCATCGATTCAGAGTATCCGAGACTCCGATTCTCGATCTACAAGTTCCCACACGATCGTAGAGGTACAGAGAACAACATATTTGAAATCAGGACCGATCCAACGGTCTGAACCTATCGAACTTGGATATTGCATATTGGGTGCAATATTCGTTCGACTCTCAAACGGTAACCAATTCCAAATCCGAGCATACCGTCGTGCTCAGAACGATACAGAGAATATTTTAGAATGTAATGGGCATCTGTAGAGGCCCACGTGGGGCCCCCAACCGCCGACAGCAAGTGGGTGTCTGGAGAAATATCCGATGACGAACATTTCTCCAAACACTCTACAATACCTATACAAATACGTTCATTACACCTAAGGGAGCATTTTTGGTTCTTGGACCACGGCCAAAAAATGGCCGGAAATGGGTGAAAAATAGCCAAAACTATCAGCCCAATATGGGTATGTAAATCATTCTCCAAAACTCCAAAATTAACCCAAACTAACTACATAAACAGGTAGAGCATAAGGAGGGGATGAATTTCCATACCTCACTAGACGGATTTGGTCGTCGGAATCGCTGTAAAATGCAAGAACCCAGCTAGAAAAACCTAACCCTTTTCTTAGCTATAATCAAGCTCACCGTCAACAAATCGCATCGATTTTTGGGTGGGTTTTGTAGAGGAGGACAAGCGGAACATTTTTCGTGGAGGAGGCACGGCCAACCGGTGGATGATGGTGTCGTTTGATGGCCTGGAAGTGGAACAATCACTGTTGCGAATGGCAGAGGAGGAACAAGAAGAAGAAGAAGTCGCCAGGGGGGGGGGGGGGGGGGGGGTGGGTGGGGGTGGTGGGGTGGGTAAGAGGAGGAGAAGATAAAGAGAATTGGCCTGGTTACTATAGCAACGATACAGTAGCAGTACTGTTTGCTATGGTAACAAATTTCAAAATTCCCTTCTTGCCATTTTCGTTTCTAGACCTTTACGCAGTCATTACAATTCGGAATTAAGTGTGCCCCTTGTCTATGAACTCGTATTGACGAGCTCTACGCAATGGTGCCACTCATCAAAATCCTTCTGGAACAAAAAGTGACTAAAGTGCTCCTACCACCCAAGGGAAAAATTGTAATTTCACAAATAGATAAATTGAATAAAATGATTAAATTGGGTCGGGGTGTTACAAGAGTGTTGTGGCCTGCGGCGGTGGTGGCGTTGTCGGCTAGGGGAGAGAGAGAGAGAGAGCGAGAGAGAGAGAGAGAGCGAGATGGAGAGTTTTGGGTATTTTCTCGGGTTTTAGAATTACCTTGAATGTTTGGTGTAGCCATGTATTTATAAGCTCCTTGCATGCTAGGATTTTTCAAAGAATAAACTCTTTTCTAATAAGAGTTTATTCTTTCCCCAAATTGTAGAAATTGAGTCTATTATGGATTTGATTGCGATCAAATCTCCTAATTTGATGATAATATCTTAATTAGTGATATTATCTTTTCAAATAAAGATAATGTCCCTATTTTTCGTGTCAATTATCTTGCCAAATAAATGACTTAATTAATTTGACTTAGGAGATATTCGTCTTGTGAAATTACCTGTAGGATGACTAAAAATGCCTAGAAGGGGGGTGAATAGGCCAATTTAAGATTATAATCAATAAATAAAAATAAACTTTCGGTAGAAGTATTGATATGGCTTATCAGTCATGAAACATGCAGATCATAAAGTAAAAGAACACGCATAGAATTATTTTACATGGTAAAACCTTATCTCTGGGGAAAATCTACGGGACTTCTCAATCCAAAACAAATCCACTATATAACCCTAAGAAGTACTCACACACTTATCCTAAACGCAATCTACATAATGTTTACTGACTTCTTCGTAACCCAACTTCTGTCACGGGATGATCTTTCGACACTCCTTATGTTGAACGCAATACTAGTTATGATTGCTTCAAGCTCGCCGGATACAAACGGCCAAAACAGTTTTGGTGCCTTCAATCGTATGAGTCACAGAACATGTAAATGAATACAATATGAATGATGAAAGTATTTGATAAATCACCAAGTAAACATGGAACACTTGATGACTTATCTCAACTATATGCACAACAGCTTTTCTTGAGAAATTTAGATGTTTGATCAAAACATATGAAAGCTGTGTAAAAAATCAAGAAGTCACGCCATGTCTTTATACAGACATATTCTCCTTTTACCGAGGGAATGGCTTAACGCCAAGAGATCAAATATTGCCTAAACAGATTTCATTCCTTTAAACAATCATGCCAGCTTATGCATGCTTTTCAATAACTTCCAATCCCATCAAATTATATAAGGAAACAATATAAACCAAGATGAAAACGATGAAAACAATGAAACCAAATAGGACGTGCTCTCCAAGTCAAAGATGAAAAAGGATATTTTAACTTTAAACCAAAATAAGGTCCAAATAGGAAAATAATCTCAAGAGATAAAATCTAATCCTATTAAAAAGAGGACTAATATAAAAGCACTTGAGTGCAAATAACTCCAGCTAGGAATCCTATAATAAATGCATGCTTATGTTATGATTTACCTGAAAATCAAGTTTCTCATATCGATCCAGCCATACTTTGAAAATCTGGAATTGAATGTGTTGCACCAAAACTTTCAGTAAAACATATTCACACACTAATTCCGGACTTATGCTAGAGTTTAGGAAATGTCAATACAATTTTCATACTAACATATTATCCACGTAGCGTCTCTTGATTGGAAACTAAAATATTTGCTCCCACAAGTTTTCAAAACAAAAACTCAACACTGAAAACGAAATGGTTACCAAAAGTATAGGAAGAGATTAAGACTTGGAGTGAAGCAATGAAAAAGAGACGAGCGATGGCATCAGGCATCTGAGGCTATTAAAATTGGATTAGGACTTCGTTGATATTCATCCCAAGTCCAGTGTTTCAAGTAGAGGCAAAGAAAGTCGAGAGGGGCTCTTTTTTTTTTTTTTTTTTTTTTTTGTGGGTCCACTTGGCTGAGATGAATTCCAGGATTTCTTACCCAAGTATTTTGCCTGAGAGTAGTTATTACTTATTTTTATATAAAGAAAATGAGTCGAAATTACTTATTCTTAATACATTATGATATGAAAGGCTTGCTTGAATTAATTTTAAAACTTCCATCAACATATAGTTACTCTTAATGGAGATTTTCATTGATACACAAATTATGGAAAAAGAAATTGCTAGGATAGATTTCAAACGTATATATAAAGATAGAAAGCCACATATCTTAGACGCAGTATGATATGAGAACTAGTACAAAGATAAACCTTAAAATCCTAATTAATTATGATTGAGAGTTTTATTAACAACTCAACCAATAAATTACATTAACATTTGTTGACAAAACAACCTCTTATTACCACATAGTACCTGCAATATCCACTGAAAAAAGGTAGTCTATTTAATTCCCAATTTCAATCTCAACAGCACCAGGTCCTGGTTGTGGTTTGGGCGGGGGCGGGGTCATGAGACATGGTCTAGCATACGGATGGCATTTGGGAGGTGAAGTACTTAGTCGGCCTTTAAAGGGATAGGTATTACCCCCTGAAAGAAAAATAAATTATTGGGACTATTAATTCACATAAAGGTAGAAATTAGAATAGAGCTACAGTTGGGTATAGTCTAGGAGGGTAAAAGTGGGTGAGTGAAGATTAAGGTTTTGCTAATTACTATTTGCCCTTAGTTTTTAAATTTAATATTAAAATTGTTTTATCTAGACTAGAGACATAATTCACATTTATACTCAAACCTACAAAGAAAGTTCTCGTAAAAAAAAAAGGCATAGATGCCAATAAATACTTAGTCTAATAGTACATTTGTTCTTAATGTTAAAATATGCATATCAAATTCGAGTCCCTTCTCCTCTCGGATCAAAAGAAATTACATAGATACATATGTAATGTATATATTTCTATGATTTGAATGGTAAAATTTGTGGGTTGAAAGTGTGTTGAAATATTCATTTTTAGGTCCTTTTCTTAAATCATCCCTACGAATGATCAACAAATTTAATGAATGACATAGTTTATCTTTAAGGTCATTTTAATGTTTGCCGAAATTTTTTTAGTTTGTTTTTGTGATTTATGATTTGACTGATTACTAAAAGGATAATACAACACCCACGAAAATAATATGAGTAGAGGTCATAAATATGAACATCCACATATACCCACATATAGATATATTTTCACAGATCGGTGGAATAAAAAATATAAACATACATCTGAGTTAAAAAAAAACAAATTAGAAACTCACTAATAGGAATTGCTGGCTTCGTAATTTCCGCTAGCTCACGAGCTGAGACCTCAAAGGAGATGAGGATCACAAGAGCAAACATAAAGTCAAGAAGAAGAAAAGACTTGGAGGATGATGCCATGTTTTTCTTAACAACACAATTAAGGTGAAGACAAGATTGTTGAGTGAACTTAATGTGGCTTGGCCTCAACCAATTTATAGACCCTTGAGGACAGGGACGGACTCAGGATTTCAAACTTGATTGGGCTAAATTTACCTTACATATAAACATACTAAGTAGATAGAAAACTCGATAGTACGTTGTAATTTCATTGAGAAACAGTTAAAAAATTTCTTCTACTTTTCTTTCCTTTTTTCCACCAGCTGTGTGCTTTCTCTCTTTTTTTTTTTTTTTTTTTTTTCCTATGTGCTGTAGGTTACAACTTTCCCTTTTATTCCCCACGTGCAAAGCAGTGCAAGCAAAGGATTCCTAAGAAGGGTAGGATATTCAATTGAATGGTTGGCTGGGCTATACTTTTTTTTTGGGTGGGTATTTTAAATATTCTCAATACACACAATTTGCCTCAACTATGTTATACACTCGTATAAATCTTCTCATTCCAAGAAAAAACAAGGAATTGAAAAGAATGAAATCACCAAATAGCATGCATAAAAGTAAGTAGTATTTGCCCACAACTGAAAACTGAGGGTACGATATACGAATCAATTAAAACTATGATCAATCACACTGCAGCATGAAAGGTTCAACTTTAATAATTTAACTAATAAATAGAGAAATAACACATGAATTTTAGGTATTTTTTCCTTTCAAATATCGTGTAAAACTAAACTAAACATTCAAAGCACGAATTAAATTTATGTATAAAAAAATTTTAAAACTCATATAAAATAAAATAAAAAAATTTAAAACAACTATAAAAAAGTTCAAAAAACTAACAAAGTAGATTGAGATAACATGGTGGTCAATTATTTATTAATATGAACAAGATAGTGAGTGAGTAAAATTACTGAGCTAAAAACAAAAGAATGCTCAATCAACCCAAAAAACAAACAACGAAAGTTTTGGTACCTCTTAAAAAATCCAAACAATTTTTTCTCCTTGTCTAAACTTTTTTGCACTTTTGGTCTACACACAATGTGAATCAGATTTCGACAACTTTTGACTACGCAGAAATTATACCTTCCAAGACCAAAGACCAAAGACCAAATATCAAATCAAAGCCTTGGTTGCAAAATTTTCCAAAAGCTGCTTGCTGATTTACCAGTTACAATAATTTCCTAGCTAACTAAGACTGGGACCTACACCCTTGTGACAATATACACCGGCGGAATCACAGTAATGGTTATAGTGGGTTGTAGCCTAGTCTGGTTTTTTAAGGAAAAAAATATAAAACCTACATATTTAACTTGTTTTCAATATTAGCCCACGTATTAAGGTGTAAGAAGGTGCAGCTATACCTCCCCTTACTGGAAAAATCATTGTAGGTGCTTCAAATTACCCATTTACTCAAATGGTGGTGGTCCACTCCAAGTGTACAGATTACCTTATTTCCATTTTCAGCATTTAAGTAAATGTCTTTTGCTAAAATATGAATATGGTTTGAATACTTTGGGTTAAGTTTTATTCTTCTCCATAAGGAGGTATATATAGGAGTTTACATGAATGCTTTACAAGGAAATAGATACAGTAATCAATTATGATAGTATCTCCTAATTATACAATGATTTGTCAACTATATAGAATAGGAAAGTAAATCCCTTAATTAATCAAGAAAATAAATCTCCTTGATTATTTAGGAGACTCACGTCAACACTCCTCCTCAAGTTGGTGCATATATGTCACCAATCCCCAGCTTGGTAAGTGAGTCATGAAATACTCTGCCACAAACAGCTTTTGTTAAGATATCTGCTAGTTGATCTTTTGATTTTACGAATGGTAGGCGAATGAACTTTTTCTCAATTTTTTCTTTGATAAAATGTCTATCCACCTCAACATGTTTGGTTCGATCATGTTGAACTGGATTGTGGGCAGTATCTATAGCTGACTTGTTGTCACAATGCAACTCCATTGGCTTTTCTAGCTTGAAGCCAAATTCGGTCAAGAGTCTTCTGATCCATAATAATTCACAAACTCTGTGAGCCATTCCTCGATACTCTGCTTCTGCACTAAACCGAGAAACCACATTTTGCTTTTTACTCCGCCAAGTGACTAGGTTACCTCCCATGAATGTAAAGTAACCTGAAGTAGAGCGTCTATCTGTAATGGAACCAGCCTAATCAGCATCTGTGTATCCAACAACTTCAAGATCTCCATTTTTTGAGAACATTAATCCTTTCCCAAGAGCTGACTTTAAGTATCTTAAGATCCAATCAACTGCATTCCTATGAGAAACACAAGGTGAATGCATGAACTGACTAACCACACTCACAGCATATGCAATATCTGGTCTTGTGTGTGCCAAGTATATCAACCTTCCAACAAGGCGTTGCTACTGTTCCTTATTGGTTGGTTCTTGGTCCATGTCTTCACACAACTTATGATTCATCTCAATGGGTGTGTCAGCAGGCTTACATCCAAGCATTCGTGTTTCAGTGAGTAGATCCATTACATACTTCTGTTGAGACAAAAATATACCGATTTTTGATCTTGCTACTTCGATTATGAGAAAGTACTTCAGATCACCTAAATCCTTCATCTCAAATTCTTGAGACAAATACATTTGCAACTTCAGTTGCTCTTTTGTGTCGTTTCCATTTACGATTATGTCATATACTTATTCTTCCAAGTCTCCATGTAAGAATGCATTTTTGACGTCTAACTGATGTAGTGGCCAATTGAGATTTGCTGTTAGCGACAATAGGACTCTAATAATGTTAATCTTGGCTAATATGCAAAGGTCTTCTTGTGGTCTATCCCATATCTCTGTGTGTACCCCATCGCCACCAATCTAGCTTTATATCTTTTAACGGATCCATCTGCTTTGAGTTTCACAGTATAAATCCACCTGCCTCCTACTGTCTAATTTCCATAAGATAAGGGCACGAGTTCCCATGTGACATTCTTTTGGAGAGCTCGCATTTCTTCATTTATAGCTTCTTTCTATTTTGGGTCTTCTAATGCTTCAGTTACATTATTGGGGACAGATATGTCAGCCAACTGCTTCACATAGTGCACACGTGACTCTGATAATCTGTTGAGAGATATATAATTATTGATGGGGTATTTCCCTTTGGCTTTAAGATCTGCTTCATATTGTACTCGAGGTTTGCCACGATCTTTCTTTCTGGAAGTTGATATGTAGGCTCTGTGCCTTCTGAAATCAAATCATCACAGGATATTTCATTAGTGTTATCAATTTCAGGAAAAGATATTACCTGAATGACTTCCTTAGCAGGTGGTTAGTGCGGTACTGGAGCTGAAGCGGGCAAAATCTCATAAAATGGTTCAATTTCCTCATCCCGATTTTGATAGCGTGGAGACAACTAATCGTTTTCCTCTGGCGACCGGTCATTTTGAAGCAGGTTCTCTGTAGTTAAAGAACTAAGGGGAGGTGACCGGTTGCTTTCCACTAGCAACCGATCATTTTGATGCAGAATGACGTCTTGGGGAAAAAAATATCGAGAATTGGAGCAGTGGTGGATTCTCGATTCTCCTCCTAGGCTGTTGAAAAATATAAGTCATGTTCCCGAAACACAACATCTATGGAGGTGAAGACCTTCTGACTAGGAGGATGATAACACCGGTATCCTTTCTGATGAGGTGCATAGCCAATGAAAACACACTTTTCATCACGGAGATCCAATTTACTTCATTGGTGATCATGTAAGTGGACAAAAACAACACAGCCGAAAACTTGGGGTTCCAGGTTTAGGGTGGGAGTGTTTGGATATGGTGGTGAAGTGTTTTAAGTGGTGTTTGAAAATTTAGGATACTAGAGGGAATCCGATTGATAAAGTATGCTGCAGAGACAACAACTTTGCCCTAAGAGGATCGTGGCATATTGGCACCAAAGAGAGAGGCACGAACGACTTCCAATAAGTGTCTATTCTTTCTTTCAGCCACCCCATTCTGTTGGGGAGTGTAAGGACATGAGCGTTTATGTATGACGCCATGATCTTGTAAGAACTGGTTAAGATCATGGTTGAGAAATTCTCCGCCATTGTCAGAACGAAGAACCTGAATTCTGGCATGAAACTGAGTCTCCACCATTTGATAAAACTGTTGAAACCTGGAACTGACTTCCCCTTTAGTTTTGAGAAGGGAAACCCAAGTCATGCGTGTGCAATCATCTATAAATATGACAAACCATTGCACCCCTACCGGAGTGGCAATTTTAGCAAGTCCCCAAACATCAGAATGAACAAAAGAAAACATAATCAAACTCTTATTTCAACTTAATGGGAACGGGACCCGATGACTCTTAGCCAATTCACACGTATCACACTAGAAGCTAGAAACATCAAGACTGGAAAATAATGATGGAAACAACTTCTTAAGATAACCGAACAAGGCATGCCCAAGAAATTTATGTCATAACCAAATTTTGTCTCTCTCCCCCTCAGAACGAGTTCCACTAGTTCTGAAAGCTTGACCAAGCTTGACCTCATTATCCGGTGCCCAGTCCAAGTAGTAGAGTTTGCCCCGTTGAGTACCACAACCAATCGTTTGTCCTGTGAGGATATCTTGAAAAACACAATGATTCGGCCAAAATGTTACGATACACCCCAAAGTAGTAGTAAGTTGTGCAACATATAACAAGTTATGGTCCAAAGATGGAACAAGTAATACAGAATTAAGATGTAGGGAAATAGAGAGAGATATAGAGCCCTCCCCAATCACAGGGAAGGGGGTACCATTAGCATTAGACATCGCAGATAGAGTGGATGATTTGCGACTAATAACTTGGCTAGGATCAAAAGTTATGTGATCCGTAGCACCCGAGTTGATAATCCATGGGGATTTTTGAGATAACGTTTTAAAAGTAGAACCTTTGGTGGTGGCGATAGAAGCATGAGTCCGAGTAGCTAGGTCAGCAGGATTGACTGCATTCTTCTTTGAGTCTGCAATAAAGGGGAGAATCGTAGGGGCTCCTAACATTGCAGCGGAAGTAAGATGTGATATGAGAATGTGAGGAATTGTGATTGGAGGAATTTGAATTGAGGAATTTGATGTATGAATTTGATGTAGGAATTAGATTTGAGAGGTATGTGTATAAGATTTGAGGGTATGTGTTTAGGATTTTGATAAGAGGATTTGAGGACTTTAGATTTGAGGGATTTGGATTTGGGGAAAATATGAGGAATTTGATTTAGAGTTTGGAATTTGAATATGAGAAATTTGAGATAAGGGTTTAGAGGCAACCTAGGATTGATTGCTCTAATACCATGCTAAAATATGAATAAGGTTTGAATACTTTGGGTTAAGTTTTATTCTTTTTCATAAGGAGGTATATATAGAAGTTTACATGAGTGCTTTACATGGAAATAGATACAGTAATCAATTAGGATAGTATCTCCTAATTATACAATGATTTGTCAACCATATAGAATAGGAAAGTAAATCCCTTAATTAATCAAGGAAATAAATCTCCTTGATTAATTAGGAGACTCATATCAACATCTTTGTCCTTTTACTTTCATTTATTTTTATATTACTCCATTTACTTAAGTTTACAATGTAAATAAGGAAGTATACCCCCATATTTGGATTCAAATAAATATTCTAGAAATCAAATTCCCACTAAATAAAAAAATGAAAAATTAATTTTTTAGTGCAAAATACTATTTAGGCTAAAAATCATGGCTCATCAAGTCAATTATATATTTCATACTAAATAGCCAAGCATACTTATGAAGGATATTACTTTTTTTTTGGTCGAATTAATGTTGCTATACACAAGCACACTTTTCTCATGCACTACTTGCCTGACTAAATAGTCAAAGAAGAGAAAGAATAAGGCAAAACGTCATTTTTGGTTCCTGTGGTTTACCACTTTTACCACTAAGGTCCCTGTGGTATTTGATCATTTTTGCCCCTGTGATTTTCAATTTAAGCAATTCAAGTCCAATCTTCAATTTCTGTCAAATTAGGTTAACTGAGGTTACTTATTGAGGGGTATTTAAGTCCAAAAACAAGAAAGATTATAAATAAATAAATAAAAAATCCTTCAACTTCTGCCACTACCACTACCGAGAGTGATGGCATTCCCAGAGTAAACAAGGGACTAGCAGAGATCGAGTACATTGAAAGCTTGTACATGAAAAGTACTATATCGGCATTGCGGGCTTTGAAGGAAATTAGGAGTGGAAGCGCTACTGTTAGTGTCTTTTCGTTGCCGCCACTGCAAATAAGTGAATTAGAGGATGAACGGAAAAAAGTCCCTGTTCTGGAACAAGTTGCCAAGTAGCTGGACAGGTAAAATGCAAAATTGTAGCTGGAATGAGTTCATTAGAATTAAGTTCTGTATAATAAAATCTTTGGCCTAATAGAAGTAATAATGTTCTCCATATTTTGCAAACGTAGTTTTTTTCGGACAATATCTTGTCTTTCTCTTAACAAAATTTTTTTGGACTTATTGTGTGCTGACGGCTTCTCTCTCCCCTATCTTTTGCCCTTTTTTGTTTTTTTTTCTCTCTCTTTCTTATTTTTGGACTTAAATGCCCTTCAATAAGAAACAACAGTTAACCTAATTTGACAGAAATTAGTGATTGGACTTGAATTGCTTAAATTGAAAACCACATGGGCAAAAATGATCAAATTGAAACCACATGGACTGTAGTGGTAAAAGTGATAAACCACAGGGACCAAAAGTGACGTTTTGCCAAAGAATAATCCAAAGCATTATTCAATCACCAACGCACCAAGTATAATGTCTGCCGACATTATCTCTTAAGCCTACCAGCACTAGAATGCATTAATTCCTAATACATTGGTAACAGCAAATTGAAGGTGCTGTTTTTTTAATCCAAAAAACAGCCAGCCCGGTCCTCCAATCAGCCGAAAGTTGCTTCCTACTTGATGTTCCACTTCACTTGGTTCCTTTGCTTTTTACGAAGATGACCCCAGCCATCATTGCCCACTTAGAACCTGGCTTTAGACATCTCACATGCCAATTACTTTATTTACATTTGATCACCTAACACATTATGTGCCTCTTGACAATTCCAAGGGTTACTTAACTAAAATACAGAGACGGACTCAGGATTTCAAATTTGATTGGGCTAAATTTACCTTACATATAAACATACTAAATAGATAGAAAACTCGATAGTACGATGTAATTTCATTCATAACAAAAAATTAATAATACATCTACCCAAGGGGGGGACAAAATATTTGTATGATCCGACATTATAAAGTTAAAGTATAACCTATTGGATAAGCATAAACACCAAAATCAATTACAAATCCTATTTGATAATTCATAACTCATAAACTAAAACTGATAAGCTCCAGTTGTAAATCCTTAATTGATAAATAAATCATAAGTCTTAATTGCAAATCTGTAATTGATACTAAATAAAATCCAAAAAAATTCTCAAATTTCAACATCAACAAATTGAGAGAAGCTTACTGTACTTGACAAATATAGGAGTTTGGTTCTCTTCTTGAATTAAGCCTTGAATGTGAGTGCAACAACAACAAAAGTGTTCCTTTACGTGTGCAAAGGTGCAATATGAGTTTAGTGACAAAGTCAACAACTCTGAGAAACAGTTAAAAAATTTCTTCTACTTTTCTTTCCTTTTTTCCACCGTGTTGTGTTTCTTTTTCTCTTTTTTTTTTTTTTTTTTTTTTTTTTTTCTCCTATGTGTTGTAGGCTGCAGCTTTCCCTTTTATTCCCCACGTGCAAAACAGTGCAAGCAAAGGATTCCTAAGAATGGTAGAATATTCAATTGGATAGCTGGCTGGGCCATAATTTTTTTTTTCGGGTGTATTTTAAATATTCTCAGTATACACAATTTGCCTCAACTATGTTATACACTTCTATAAATCTTCTCATTCCAAGAAAAAACAAGGAAATGAAAAGAATGAAATCACCAAATAGCATGCACAAAAGTAAGTGGTATTTGCCCACAACTGAAAACTGAGCGTACGATACACGAATCAATTAAAAATATGATCAATCACACTGATGGCTGAGATCAACTTCATGATGGATCCATGCTCTCGAAGCTCATACTGAAGATAATTCATCTTTGATTGCATTTCATGCATTGTAGTGTTCTCTTTTGCGTGACTAGTCATCAATGGCTGTCACGTGTTACTACCATATCATTTATTTTTTACTTGAGCTTGCCTATGTTGCCAGCTGTAGGTTTTCTGTCTTAACCATTTTTGTCCAATTCTAGCTCTTATAATTAGCTCGCAGGTGTCATTGTTTTGTGATGCCTTAATTTATCAAAAGGGTGGCAAATCACTACTACAAAAATTAAAATAGACACCGAGAATCCACCGTCGTCTAGAAGGTTTTTAAATGTCGTGAAATTGACCACCTTCTTTTGATACATAAAACAACGACGGCAAAGAAGGACCGTTGTCTAATTAATATATAAACAGTGAAAAATCGATGTCTAATTAATATATAAACAACGTCATACCAAAATAAAAATCGATGTCTAATTAATATATAAACAGCGAAAAATGAAAATTTTGACAACCTTATACGACGGTTTTAGGAAAATAGGGACGTCTAAAGTGTGTTACATGTCAAGAACTATTAATAAAGGTTAATTGAAACCTTTTAGGACATCCACAAACCGTGGTTGTCGCCTAGCAGCAAGTCACAGTTATCCAAGTTAAATGAGACGTTGTGAAAGAACCTATTTAAATTGGAATGACCGTGCAATTGAATCATTCTCTTATGCCAATACTCCTTATTCACATTATTAGATCATGAAACCTGATTGTCAATATCCTAATGTGAATTATTCCTTTTATATGATTATCCTGGTAAAATTTGAAGACTTCTTCTTTCAAGTCTTATCCACTACTCTGCGCAAAGATTTACCACAATCATATCTTGGAGTATTCTTTTTCCTTTAAGGGCATATTTCTAACATCGGAGCTGTGTGTGGTGGCATTTAACCGTGTGGGAGAGACAAATTTGGGAGAACTCAGCCGCTAGGGAGGCCATCGGCTAGGGGGGAGAGAGAGAGAGAGAGAGAGAGAGAGAGAGAGAGAGAGAGAGAGAGAGAGAGAGAGAGAGAGAGAGAGAGAGAGGGAGAGGTCTCAGGTGTTTTAAGGTTGAGTTTTGGAATTACCTTGTGTGTTGAATGTGGCTATGTATTTATAAGGCTCTAGCCATCTAGGGTTTTTCAAAACATATCTTCTTATTTGAAAGGAATATATTATTTCCCCAAAATGTAGAGATTGAGTCAATTATGGATTTGATTGGGGTCAAATTCCGAATTGATGATAATATCCCCAAAATAAGATATTATCATAAATTGGTGATATTATCTTTTAATTTGTGATTTTATTCCCAAATAAAGATAATATCTCATATTTTTGATAATATTCATATTTTTGGTATCAATTAATTGGCCAAATAAATGGGCTCAATTAATTGATCTAGGAGATATTCTTCTTGTCCATGTGGAGCCTTGTGATTGGAAGCCGGAATATTTGCTCCCACAATGTTAATATGAGAGTGCTAAAAGATTTAGTTGCCATATTTTAGTCTTTCTGAAAGCTTTGATAGCTCATGCCTCAAGGGCACAACGGCACTTTGCAACTCTCTTTGCACTTGCTTTAGAAAAAAAAACACGCTAGAAGTGATAACATTTCATGTGCAAGTCATAATGTTAAGGTTGTTCCATGTTTTCCTACAAAGAAAAGTTAGTATCTTCTTTTTTTCTCTCTTTTTTTTTCTCACAGATTGGACTAAAGGGCTACCAAATGCTTATTTTCATTATTAGGATGCACAATTCTCTGAATAAATACAAAGATGCAAATGCCTTTACATAAAGTTAAAGTCAGACAAAGTGGTGTCCATTAATTTATTGGTAACGTACTAATATATGGCCAAGAAAGAGGATCCTCTTTACTTTTATTAGATTAGAATAATTGCTCGTGCATCTTGTAATTTGTCAAACACA